GCACGCGGACGACTTTCCGATTCGATCGGCTCGGTGTACGCGTCCCTACCTTGCTGATCTCGCCGTGGGTGGACAAGGGAGCCGTACAACACGGACCGACAGACCAACCGAATGATTTCACCCACACCTCCATCTTGAAGTATGTGGCGGAGCTATGGGACCTACCCTTGTTGACACCCCGCGTAGCCTGGTCCCCCAGCTTTGGCAGTTTGATTCGGGATTCTCCTCGGTCGGATACGCCCGAAAGGCTACCCGAGCCGTGAGCGTGAGCTTTTTGGCGGGGGCCATTTCTTGGTTTCTTTCCTTCCTGGAAGTAATAAAGCACAAATCTGATTATATTTTGATGCTATGCTGAAGCGAGGCTATGCTATGCTAGAGTATGGTATGGTATCACAGGGTGGCTTGCGCCGCTATTAGAGTTGGTATGATGATGATGATGATGATTGACTAGAACCCCAGCCACTTCGTCCGCTTGGACTGAACGGAGCGCGACCGCGAGCGCTGAGTGATGGCGGAGTTGCGGGTATTCACCCGGTCGATGTCGTACGGATTGGCCTCGTACTGGCGCTGCGAGTCTTCCTCCGTGGAGAGCGAGCCGCCTCGCTCCAGGTCCAACTCGTGGTCGATAGCCGTCACGTCCACCCCATCCGCCACAGCTTCCGCCTCTTCATCCTCCGCTTCCACCTCCTTCTCTGGGTGGTGCAGAGTCTTGTCGGCCAGTTTGCGCATGAACGCATCCGACTCGGCCGAATACTTGCACTTCCGCCGGACACTTGCTCCGTACTTGTAGAAGATGAAGGGGAACGGCAGACACGCCAGGGACAAGAATGCCGGGATACAGGAGGCCCAGTGGATGCCCAGGTTGTTGTACATGTAGGTCGTGAACAAGGGGAAGCCCGCACCGAAGCAGCTGCGGATGATCGAGTTCGCGGCCAGCACGGACGCCGCGTAAATGGTGTACGAGTCGATCAGATACGACATGATGTTCAGGAAGACGAGCACCATCCCGAAGCCGAAGGGCGCGGCGGCGATGATGCACACGATCCAATGCACGGAGGGTCCGTTGGTCCACGCGAACCAGAACAATCCGACGGGGATGGTGATGGCTCCGATCATTGTCGGGGGCAGCCGCGCCTCCGGCGGCGCGAAGCCGTTGTACTGCTCGTGGATGCGCTTGTAACGTTTGTTGTCGTACATGTTGTAGCCCACCGCCGTCATCATCCCGACCATCACCCCGAGGAACGGCAGGGACCCGATGCCTTCGCTCCAGCCGCGCATCTCCTGGAACACGATGGGGAACGCGTCGAACAGCATGTACAGGGTGCCATAGATGATCGCCATGTACAAGGACAGGAGCAGCACAATCGGTTCGGCGAAGAGCAGCACCCAGGGCCGCAGGAGCGCCGCTCCAAAGGCGTTCGCCACGGAAACGCGGCCACGCTCCCGGTCCAGCTTGCTGATGAACACCTTGCCGGTCAGCTTGCACAGCCGATCGGCCCGCGCGCGGAGCAGCAATGGGGCGTAGGTCTCGGGGATCACGAGGCACTGGATGATCCAGATGAGGCCGGAGAAGGCCGCCAGCAGGCCCTGCACCCACTTCCAGCCTGCACTTTCGCCGAGGAAGCCTCCGATGATAGGTCCGATGGTCGGTCCTATTTGATTCTAGTCAGCCTGCTGTCGGCAATGTCGATACCTCGGGAGGAAACCTTACCCAAGAAAGGTGCGCCTGCGAACAAACTCATCGCCAGCCCACGCTCCTCAGCGGGGAAGACATCCGCGATGACGCCGCCGGCATTCGTGAGCGGGGACGATCCGAACGAGCCCGCGAAGAACCGGAGGATGATCAAGGTCCACGAGTTGCGGGATCCGGTCGCCCCGGCGCAGAAGACCGCGAGCCCCAGGTACGAGATGGCGAAGACCAGCTGCCGGCCGATCAGTTCGCTGAGGGGCGCCCACACCAGCGGGCCGACGGCGAATCCCAGCACGAACAGCGACACGCCCAGGGTGGCGACCTCGGTGCCGATGCCGAAGGACTCGATCACCTGGTCGATGCTCCCCGCGTAGGCGGACGAGGCCATCGACACGCCAAACGTGGCGAAGGCGGCGATGATGGTGAAGGTCCACTTGCGGTGCTGCGGGAAGAGCATCGGGTTGCGCGGATCGTCGGGGATCCATTCCACGATGAACGGGTCCTCCGCGGTGCCCTGGCCGCAGTAGGGGTGGTTGATAATGTCGTCGGTGACGGCGCCGTGATCGACCAGGACGCGCCAGTAGGGGATCCGAGCTGGTCGGGAGGACGCCTTCCCAGTTGATGCGGCCATTGTTCAGGTTGATTTTACTAGGTGAGCGCCAGTGGTTTTAGTTATTGCTGAGTCCGACGGTAGGGTTGCGGCCGCGGCACCTGGCGCATTGCTTGCTTGGCTTGAAGCCGGAGATGCTTGTTCTTGTTGGCAACGGGCAAAACCAAAAATCGAACCGAGAAAGGCGAGGGCTTTCCCGGCCAGGGAAAGATTTCCGACTTTATATGAGTTGGAGGGTTTTACGTGTGGTCTATCATTACGAGAATTGCAGATCGGATGGTGCTATCAGAAAAGAAAATTTCTTCTTGTAAGTGGTTCAACCCCCCATCCTGAGGAATTCTCTGGTTATCTAGCTGGTTGTCGGAATCATTGTGATTTAAGGTCAGACCACGCGTGCAGAAACTGGCTGACTGGAAGCATTGAATCATTGGGTCAGTCACTAAGAGGGGAAGAGGGGGCGGCGGCGGGTCAAGACTGCAGTCGCATTGGCTGCGAGTGACCCGCTGAGGGGCTGGCCCCCATTTCTTCGGCTATCGCTTCGGCAAACCGAGGGCCTGGAAGGGGGTGCCAACCGAGGTATCGTCTGCTGCCTGTATTGATTCGAGATTGTGTATGATGTCCGTTTGGCTCGGTATGCCGGGTTGGAATTTCTGGAAGACATGTCACTGTAGAGTGGGGATTGATGGATGTGTTGTGCTGGAGGTGGAAGCTTAGCTTTATAGTGCTGAGTGAAGGTGGTTTGGCTGTTGGTGGGGTTCGGTTGTGACGTCATGGCACTGGGTATCTGCGTTTCGCTCTGCTGCTGTTGGGTTTGATGGGGGGTGCATTTGCAAATAGTTAAGTATAGATTCACAGAAAGTACGTATAGACTATTCACTTGCGACAAAGACAAAGACTTAACCAGGATGCTGCCAAACACCGCTTGTGAAAGCCGCTGGCGGGCTGGCCCTACCTATTTATCATTCACACCACTCACTATACAACAATGTCAGGCCTGGGGTTGATTTGAGGACACCTCTTTCACCCACAGTTATCATTAACCAGATGCCTTGGATTCACCCCTGCTGTCGACCCAGGGTAACATAAATATCTCCGTTGATCTTCTTCTTCTCGCAACTCTCTTCTCTCAACTTCTCTCCTTCAACCAACCATCCCACTAGTCCTCCACTCTTCGGGTCCTTCATCTGTCTCTCCATCCACTTCCTATATCTCCACTATCAATATGTTTTTCATCCAGCTTGATTCATCGAACTACATATTGGTGAGACATCGTACAAGATGTGGTCTGTTCAAGTAGGGACCTAATTCATTTATCATGGATAAGACCATCTTCCTTGAGCAGAGGCGATGTCGCTATCGTACAGACATCTGCAAAGAACTCTTGATTTGCTTTCATCTCTTATCGACCTATCTTGACTACACAAATACAGGCAAGTGGGCATACATGGTCATGTCCAGCCAGAATCATTTTTCAACCGCATGTATGCCTGTGCATTCTGCGGGCTGGGGATAGCTCAACCATACGTTCGCGCATGCATCCCTGGCTCCGGTGTCCTGTTCCGAGCAATGTGGGTAAGTAATCGGGAAGAGATTGAAGGGTTCAAGAATCCCATGCACGATGAGCTGACTCCGACAGGTTTTCTGGGCTCGAAGACGTTGGGCTTCGGCTGGCGCGGCCTTTACCGCTCTGCCAGTGGGACTACGAGCGGGGACGCTTGAATTAGTTGGTCATCTTGGATGACATCCACAAGCCCAAGACGTCTGGGTGCCAGTGCTGTGGCTGACAAAGACGCTGATCTTTGTTCAAATCGTCACCACAAAATGTGGTTGCTCAACTCCCAGAGATGTATGACCGAGAAAGAGGCTGGGACCACTTCGAAAACACTACACATCGGACCTGTGATAGCGAAGAGTCCGATATCTCGGATTTTCCGAACACGGTAGTTGACATCAGCACGCATGCCCCGCAGATAGTGACGGGCTGGACTTCAAACCCCGCGTCCACCCGGTATTGGGTCTATGGAAGACTCTGTGCTAGTTGATGACGAAGCAGAGAGTCTCGCCTACCCAGGTGCCCATCGGAATCATCTGTATGAATCCAGTTACCAATATCAATGTCGTGCTAAAAGTACATGTAAAACATGCAGCGTCACCGACGGGACCGTTTGCTAATATGCCCTAGACACATTGAGTGACAACCTGGGGTGTAAGGCGAGTTGTGTGGTGAGTAGGTCTCGTCTGACTTGAAGACAATCAAATGGACTCAAACTCAGATTCTACATTGAACGACAACAGCAATGACCACTACACACGCTCACAACGACCCTTTTCACCGCGATATGTTGAGACGTGTAGTGTTGTTGTGAATATGTGAAAAGGACTTAGGGGATTCCACTGATTCGGTCGTGCACCTGGTTCAGCGAATTCCTCGTGCCGTCGCCCGACGAGTTGGTGATTCGGTTCGATCATGTCGGGGTCAGTCGAGAACCTCGATGTTTCTCCAGATCGTATGTTTACATCGCCAGAATTCGTGGCTAGCTGGGGAACTCAAGACGGCCGTCTTGACTTTTTCTTCAGAACCATGAAATGAGATCTCGAACTTTTGAGCGATGGAATTCGGACCCAGGAGCATATGTCTCGGTTTGTGTGCGGGGGCAATACTTCATCATGGTGGAGAAGCAATATGAACCAGTGGAATATATTGGATTGCAGACTGAGTTGTCCTAAACGCGATTCCTGCGTCAATGTCCACATTTTGTGTGCAGACATCAACTGGCGCAGCGAAACATTCTGGGAGATCGAAGTGCGCAGGTCCACGCGGCTTTCATTGATTCCGCTGGCTGTTCGAGCGATGGCAATGTTCAACTCTAGAACCTTTCTAGTAGGCTGTCGCATCCCCATCTCGGGTCTTACGCCTTGTACAGGATAGCGATGAAAGCTTCTAGCGCGTTTGCTCGGTTGATATGTGCATGGGCTCGGTCGCTTTCGGAGATTCGCTCTGGACGACATCCAGGATCAACTGGTCTTGGCCTTTGCTTGCTAGCTGCTGCGAAGGATTTCTCTCGGTTTACCAATTGTGCTGTTTGCCGGGCGTGTTTAAAGCTTCCCTTGCTATATTTGACCTCGAATGCGCCATTGCCACACCTGAGCGGGAAAGGAAAACTCCCAAGAGAAAGAAACGCGAGCGTTTCAGATCGCCCAGGGAGGAAGACCGAAAGCGTCTGCGTATGTTGGAACGGCAAAACCAAATGTTGTCCGAACATCTTCGACGTCAGACCAACACAGACTGCGATTCTTGCTCGTCCTCAGCAGTTCCCAACTTTTCCAAATGCGTTTGATGCATATATCAATCCACAGTACAGCACCGATCAACGCCCCCACTGGCGTTTAGCAGCGGATGCTCAGGAGAAAACACTGCATTGTTGGGAGGCGGAGTTGTTACAGCGACAGAGATCCGGGTTGGGGTCCCGTGCCAGTACCAAAATTCCCTACAGACGATGGGTTGCTGCTATCACTGTCAAGCCGCGGGTGTGTCTTGCGTGCGATCCCTAAGAGCAGTCACAAGACGCAGTCTACTGCCGAAAGGCTCTCTGTGATTATCCGTCTCAGATACACCCAGGTAACCTCCAGCGTACGTCGTTTCGATGGGCTTGCTTCTTCTTGACTGCTGCTACCCCATGTAGCAGTGTGGGCTCTAGTCGCGCTGTAGTCTGACTGGCTTGATATACCAGCTTAAAACTGCGCCATAGACTGAATCAAACCACAAAGCAATGGTCAAGCACCCTTGGAATATTGGGTACTAGCGATTCTCCTCGGGCTCTTTCTGAAAAGCTCAGGCAAAGCTCCAACCTCACCACCAGAGAGCGCTCTTGGTACCCGGGAATCAAGACAACCTGGATGTAGCTATGTTAAAAGTCGCTCGATGTACGGTCAATCGTCAGACACAACAGCCGGCGGCTCTACTGTATGAGACAGACCCCCCACAGACCCCCGGGCGAAAACGGCCTTATGCTCGAACACGCAAGCATGCAGTGCGTCTTTTCTGGTTGATGGCAGTTGCGGCCTTCCTAGAAGATCTGTGTCATCTCTCTCTCCAATGGCAGCGGTTGAATCTTAGATCTGCTGCTACTGCTGCCGTGACAGCAGCAGCAGCCGAGATAGAAGGACGAAAGTATCCGAGGTTGTTTTGGTTGGCGTCTTGCGTCTTTTTTCTTTTTCTGCTCCCGTCCGATTTCTTTCCCGATCCCTTCATCCTCCACTTCAACCACCCACATCTACCATTTGCCTCAACAGCGCACTGAGTCCGAAGCTCTGCGTATCTGTATACAATCAACGCTGGATCTGTCATGCCTTCATTACTTCATGTAATTCATGCCTTTTGCGCCCAAACACCGGGGTAGCGTTCCCCAGCCGTTCTCGAGGAAGTTCGGCGGTTGTTCCATGGCTTCGACCTAGCTGAGTCGGAGGCACATGTAGAGGCTGCACGACGCTTCTCTCAGTTTGCGGTTACGTGCTCAGCTCCGTGAGGGAATCCTCGTGACTCAACTTAGGGCACAACAGCGCTGCAATAAGGACCGCAATACATGGCAGATCCATTCTGCATCCAGGCGTTCGCGATTTACATCTCTGCGTTTCTCGAAGAGGTGCGACAACTGCCTCGGCCCCGGTCACAATTACCTGCCTGTGATCCGACTGCCCTACATCCTTGTCTAATGCCGACGTTCTCGCCGAAAAGGCCGGAAGTCTGGACCCTCTGGTATCTTCTACTTGTATACAGAAGAAACCCAGTATCCGCACGAAGAACTATTGCAAAAGGCGCGGGCAGGCGTGTAAGGCGGCGCACAAGGCGGCGCGTAAGGCAGAGTGCCAGGCGGTCCTCGCGAACGAGACTTCCGACATCGTGATCCAGTGAATTTTTAACTCTGAGGGTTTAGGGTTTACATCCCCAGCACGTTAAAGCAACTGAAGAGGCTCTATTTTGTTTTCGTCCTAGAAGAGGAAATGGCCATGCCCACGGTCTCTATACTGTTTGTCGGTCGCAGGGAACTATCTTCGTACTACCCAAAGCTGCTAGGGGAAGAAAGTTTGCTCTAAGACCAGATCACTCTCGTATGATCGGGCTTGTCGAAAAGTACTTTCACCCGACGAAAATGGAGAAGCATGGCTGTGTTGCGGTGCATGGGGGATGGAGGTATCAGTATGCAGGCGACACGCATGACAGCCCACCGCCAGGCCCCAAAGGCAATCTGGGCTATCTTGGCTAATATCGGGAAAAAAGCCTTCGCCGCGCGATTGACAAGATTGAGCAGGCAATCTTCCCAGTGGTTCGTACGTTATTCGGTGGTCGGAGCCTGACTCGAATGGAAGCCCTCCCTGCAAAAGCCGTCATAAAGAAGGATCAGCTCAAAAGTGTCTATCTGGACCATGTCACGACTGGCCACATGCAGCACGTCAAGGGCACTTATATCGGCTCTGGAAAGTCGGTTGTGAATTGATTACGAATGCGAATCGCAAGCGCGTGGCTTCCCCAGCCGAATGGGCGCCCAACAGAGCATAATGGAGCTCAGAGGCCTGAGACGATGTGTTTGTGGCAGAAACACGTGGACGATCGCGGATCAGCCAAAATGGTTCCAGTCCCTAAGGACGTCAAACACTCATCTTGTGCAATCAACAGCACTGCAGACAGCAGCGAATTGGGTCGGCCCCATTTCCAAGGTTCTTAAGCCATATTCCAAGCTCAATATGCATCTTTCGTTTCCTTGATATTTCAAAGGTTTCATCAACCATGCTACACAAAAGGCTCCCCGTGGCTGTCTAGCTCGGATACCACATGCAAAAGGAAATCTGGGGTTGACATGTTGAACACACATGTCCAAAGCACCGTGCGAGACTTTTGTATCCTCCACTTGTTTGCCAAGTATTGCATGGGCTTCAGCGTCATCGCCGGTGGAAAGAAAACGGCCCAGCCCCCCTCGACACAGACCCAAGAACAGAATCGAGCTGACAACAACTCCTTGATGCACCGTTATGCTCTTTTATTCGCCTGACACGAGGCGGAACCGAGTGCCGCCCTCGAAACGTCATAAGGAGCAACCGTCTTTTGAAAAGACCCGAGCTTTGGCAAGACTTCTGTATGAATGTGTTCCAGCCAAGGGGCAGTGCCAATGCAACTCCTGTCATGGCTCAATGCTTTGCAGAGCCGGATCCATCGCCGAGCACACCAGCCAGACCCGAGGGATGGTGCCAAATCACCTCTATCACCATGGCACAGAAAAAGGATCGGTAGGACAGTCGGAGATAGAATACGGTGGGCGTTACGGTGGGCGTGTCTGTCACCGCTGTGTGCGTTCAGGGTTAGCGTGCTCCCTCGTCGCTTCGGCGGCGGAGGAGACCTGCTGTTCGCGCTGCAGCATGCACAAGCGTATAGCCGTTGGGTGCACCCCCGTAAGTTCCCCACATTCCCGTTGTTTGGCAAGGCTGACCTGCCCGTTTGCCGCAGTCACTGGTTGACGATTTGACGATTCGATCGACGTGATCCTCGCTTTGGTGCGGGCCGTGGCCGCGGGCGAGGCGGACGAGGCGGAGCGTCTGTCCCACTTCTTCCGGGACGAGTACGTCAATCCGGCCTTTTCAACAATGGGTGGACAGGAAGCTTGACATGAGGGCAGTATCTAGGGCCGACACCATCGACCTCAGCTTCCCCCCCCCCCCGAGTTGGCCGACGAGCACGACCGGTACTACCGCGGCCTCATCGAGCAGCTCTTCGGGGCGGGTCCCGGGCCGGAGGAGCCGAACCCGGGCTCGGGCACCGGAACATATCGAATCGCCGTGCTGCGCAAGCTGGCGTTCCTGAGCTTCTCGCCGCGCCTGCACCGCTTTGGCTGCTCGATCGCGCACGAGGATAGCCTCGCGACCCGGCTCCGCGAGCGTCTCGCGCAGCCCGATCTCGGCTTTACTTACTACTATCTCCACACGCGCACGGACACGTCCCAGATACCCTTTATGAATGACGTGCAGAACGCCTACTGGCTCGCCTGGGACTCGCCGAAGCTCCGCTACATCGTCGCCGTATCAATCAAATCAGCAATCTGCCGATTGGGCATCCGACAATGGACCTTATCTCAAGGCGTACAGTCGGCGTGCCTCACCTCGCATGGAAAGAGATCAGCCTGCGACTGGAGATTTGTATCAGTCGGATGCAGACACTCAAAGGGGTTGAATCATACGATCGAGCATTTGTCGCCGGCAGAATTGACTACTCACTGCGGCACGGTGCTGCCGTGGCTTTGGCCCCAGTCAAATGGCTGTGCCAGTGAAGAATCTTGAGCCTCCGTGATAAGACGCTTCCCCTTTTAAAGCCGGGATGCGATCACTTTGACAACTAGGAGCGCTAGTCTGCGTTGAGTTGGGGCGGTTGAAGGGCTCATTATTCTGACAAATGCTCGAGGGTTTATCTGAGTCAATCCTCAGACCTTGAACATACCGACGAAACTTTCAGTGCGGTTACGAGCTTGTCCACAAAAGAGGCAGCCTTGGAACGCAAACCGACATTGTCGGATTCCTTACACTAAAGCTATCGCGGTTTGTAAAGCTGTCGCAGCCCATCAGCGCGTGCCGACGTTCGTGCGCGGACGCGGCAGCCTTCGGTTGCAAGATCGGACGCTAAGTCCCTGGCAGAAAGATCTATTCCACTATGAGGCCGACGTAGGCTCTTAAGCGCGTGATCGGGGAAGTTGAGTGCCCTTGTTGCCGATCCCGCCATATCGACAAGCACGACGAGCAGTAAATCATTTGTCTAGGGTCCCACGAAACCCTTGGGTCTGGTCAGCAAGCCGAATGAGGTCCTATCACTACGATCCAGAATCTCTGCTATGGAAACCAGCAAGCTGTTGGGAACAAATGGAAGAGGATTCACGAACGGCTGAAGGGCAGTACTAAGCCGTTCGTCGCCTGCAGCAGATTGGGAACGGCCTGAACCTCACTAGGACATCGAGAAATGGTTCCTAGAACAGGATGACACTCAGGACCTCGACCTCCGCTCGAAACCGTTGAAAGAGTGGCTATTCGACGGGCCGATCCACAAGAAGCTGCCAGGCATTCGCTGGATCCTCCTCGTTGCTCACATCCGTCCTCGAGACGTCGATATTTCCTGTGTAAGTCCACATCCCACCAAGGACGGACGAATCCGGCTTCTCCTGGTTTGCACCACCAAGCTGCAACTGCGGGAGCCGAACTTGAGGGAAGGTCCTCTTTGAGCACTTTCAAATTGGTCATTATTATTGGGCCTTTCCTGTACATTGAGCTAAAAGGGTAGGCATGGACAGTCACTCCGCGCCGGATATCTGAACCCAAATATTGGGTGGCGGTGGACTGCCTACAAACTACCGACCGGGATTTCCGCAATAGATATAATCTGGCATGCATCCCCTGGCAAGAAATGCTTTCCATTTCCTGATGCTTGGCCTCTCTGAGGGTAGTTTCAGTACCCTGGTCCAACGTGAACCGGACCCAGATGGAGCCCGAGAGACAATTATAGGGAGCGGTGTCTCAGCGTACAAACCAATACAATTCTACATCTTGATGATACGGCTTATCTTGATGGGTGCAGCAGAAGGCCAATGTCACGGCCTGTGTGGAAGGGAGCATTGAGCACAGGAACACTCCACCACTTCAGACGTATGCTGATTCCGCGGGTCGATTCTCTCCTTGTGCGGGGCCCACCCCATCACTCGTTTCACTCTGCACTGTCGCACGTTCGTGTCTGGACCTCGCTAACAGGTTACTGACAAACAGGAACAAGTGGACCAAGAAAGGGGGGCTCCTCTGCAACGAGTGGCCGGAAAAAAGTCATTTCAAAAGAAACTGTCCCGTGCTTGACATATGTGAAGGCATTCAGGGAGCGATAAGTGATCCTCTGTTATTGTGCAAGCTGGTCATGTTCCTGGCCAAAGTGCTCCAAATAGGGAGCGCAGAGAGATGAAAGGGAGAAGCGCGAGTGAGAAGAGCAGGTCGCTAAAAGACAAAAGCAGCGTAAGGAGTAAAGAGAAGGGAGAAGAAGAATGAGAATAGGAGTTGACGCAATCCGGCGTTTCCTTCTTCTCGTCTTTCCCCATCAATTCTCCTACTTTTCTTTCACAAACAAAATGCAGACGAGAGCATTGCCTTCTCACATCCAGATTTAACTTTGGATCAATGGAGACGCCGGCGTCATTGAGCAGTAGGATCCAGGCACCCTGGTATCGATGAGGTCCTGGCTAGGCCGGGTTTATAGCACAGATCCCGCTCCAATCTCGCATAAAGCAGTGATTAACACGCAACTTTGAAAACATAGACGGGCTTGGCCAGAACCCTGGTTGTAATCGCGATATTATGAGTTTGATCACCACCCGATGAACCGAGAGCCATTGAAGCGGTAATCGGTTTGCCAGAACTGCTTCCGCCCCCACTCTAGCGCCTGGTTGTGCTTAGCCTTCTTCTTGCTTCATAGCTCTTGATGCTCGCTACGGGGAGGCTTCTTGCTTGGGGGCTCCTTCTCTAAGATGTCTGTAGACATCAAAATAGGAGCTGAGGGGACCTGACGTCTGCGCTTTCGGATCGGTGCGCTCTCGTTTGGAAATAGATCCGCTTCGGCGCCAGGCTCGTTGCGTCGGGGGAGAGGGCTTGAAGCAGCCCTAGAGTCGCTGCCTGTTTCACCAAGATCCCGGTCTTTTCCCCTGCGGCGCTTTCGTGCCTTTCGATTCTCCTTTTCTTCACGCCGGGTTGCTGTTGATGCCGCCTCGAGTTGAGCTTCTTGCAGAGCTCGTGCGTGCTGGGCATTGAGAGGACGGGGCTGGCAGTCTCCGCACATATGCTCGTCGGGGAATTGACTATCGCCGTAGTAGCACACGATGTGTTGCCATGTATAGCATTTTTCGCAGTAAATCGTCTGACCGTCATCGTGGCTGAGGCCGCAGATGCATTTGATCATTTCCGACTCCTGCCCCGGCAATTCTTCCATCGAATTCTCTCTTCGTAGGGGCTCGATTTGGAAATGGTCATTGAAGACGGCGTAATAGTCCTTGGGGATTTTGGGAGCGGACATCAAAGACGGAGAACTATTCCGGGGAGGAGGCGAATCAGGTTGATCGCTGAGAGCATCAACACTGGGAATATACATAGCTTCATTGGCGGGTGAGGGGCTCCGGTAGCTGCTAAATTCAAGGCCTGATAAATTCTGCGACAGCGCACTGTGGCGGCTGCCACTAACGATCGATATATTCGCCAGACTGTCCCTTACTTCTTCGTCGCTGTTCTCGTTATTCCGTATCGGCGGAAGCGACAAAAGTGCCAAGTCAAACAGGTGGTCAGCAACGTGTTCCTCGATAGGTGTAGGTCCACCAGAGACTTTTGGCTTTTCGGGATCCGGATGCTCCAACCAGTCACAAAATGGACAACTGGGAAACATGGGACCAGGTCGTGCGGCTCGGATCTGAAGCTTCTTGAGTTGCATATCGGTAAACCGTCCAGAATGCATGTCTCTAACATGATTTGCAAACTCCTCGGCACTCTTCGTTACTGTCCGATCTGACGATGCATGGCGCATTGAGCAGATCCATTCCGTCGATGGTGCTGGATGGGCTTTCATGTGCGCCAGCCATTGCTCAGCGGAAGAGAACAGCTCACGAGGGCTCGTACAGTCTTCGAAGAGACAGATGTACGGCTCCAGGTCATCCTGAAAGTGCTTTCTACCAAAGTTCAGCGTATGAAGGCTTGTAAATCATGTTCACTTACATCCATCGAGTGCCAGTCAGATACTTGATGTTGATGACAAAAGGACAGTATGGGCATTGCGCCTCTTTCTGTCCGGAAGCGACTGATGGGGGCTTGGGAATGTGTTCGTTCATTCGCGGAATGTGAGAACTCGGTGTTGCTGTAGACACCACAGACGGTTCGGATGAGCGTGGGTACTGAAACCGTTGAGGATAGAAGGTAGACGCCGTTCGAGTCGTAGGGGCTCGTGCTGGCGAAGGAAGCGGAGCATCTGGTATTGAGGGTCGCTTCCGGCTGGCTGGTGGGGTCGGTATATGGTGGGCCCCCCGGCCATTTGGCAGAACCGGGGCGACGAAGCCACCTTGATACTTCTTTGGCGACGGCTTGTTGTACAGAAACCGACGTCGTCGAAAGCAAATAGCATCCGCAAGCCGAGATCGCAAGGCTTCCGACAAGCGAGAGTGTCGGAGCTTCAGCACCTGGGATATGAAGGATTCAAAGGCTTGGTTGATATCATTGCCATCTTCGTCAAGGATAATCAAACGAGTGATGCGAGAATAAGGATTTCTAACTCCAGCATTACGTATCGCAGTTGAAAGGTGGTGAAGACGAGTGATGGTGTCCTCCACGGCTTGATATGCCGGCACGATGGACAAGTTTTTCAGAGGTTGGATCTGAAAGCCTGCATAGCAAGGCGTTGTGTTACTGATGTCGCGTCCCGGAGCTGTGGTCTCACACTGATTCGATACCTCTGAGCGACTTGCTTCATCAATGTTGGGGCTAGATACTTCCAACTCGGTGCGAAGAGCTGTACACATATCAGCTTTCAGCGCTGCCCAAATCGGGGAAGCAGGACATTGTAGGCGAGGTTATCGCTTGATTACGCACCCTGGCCGGCATATAGAGCCAAAATCTCGAGCAGGTTGGTGATGATTCTCTGAACGTCTGGGCTGTCCCTCAGACGATACTCCAAGGATGCTTTATACTTGGCGAAAACACCTATATTGGTAGCCCACAGGTTAAAGCGTGCGAGCTGAGCTTCAGCCAAGTGGGAGAAAGATCCCGAGACTTGGAGGCACTTTTCCAAAGCGATGACCGCGTTTTGAGCCAGCACCGTAATCTGACGCTTTTCGGGGTCTTCAGGGTCTTCCATGACCGGGCTGCAGATTTGGAATCCTCCAGATAACTAAGAGCTTGAATTGACTAAGATGGGAAAGGAGGGGAAAGAAAAACGTGGGCTATCACGTGGCATCAGCACTAGTCAATGAGGCTGAGCCGAGATCGAGCCGGAGATCAACTGGACGTTAAGTTATCTCAACACTCACCACTCACCATCCCACCGTGTCACTCATGGCAAGATTATTCTGATTCTTATACCTGACCGGATGGCGTTCTCATTAGGGAAAGTGGATCAACCTCCTGGTGAACTATTCTCGCTATTCCAAGCTGTTTTACCCCACTTTGCTTCCATCGCCAGCCAACGGGTCACGCAATACCGCGACAATGCAGACAAACGCATTCCCTACGTTTTGTTCGAGGCCGATCTCATTCTCCTGGGCCTACGACAACCCACCATCGCTGCATCTCTCTCTCCCGAATCAGCGACAGAAGTGAGGAATGCTTGCGTGGAACAAATAACGGAGATGCTGGGGATTCTTGAGAGCATATTGCGACAGGGCCGAGCTTCTACCGAGGTAATGGTCGGGCAGTTCGGATATCGATGAGGTCTTTACTGAGCAATCGTGACTAGGCCAACTCGTTCTATCCTTTACTCGAAGGCATCCGGGCTGGCACCATCTCCTGTACCGATTTTGAATTGTGTTCTACCGAGGGGAATCAGTACGCCACAGTGAGCAAATTTAGCCAATGCGCTCGCGAATTGGACCGTCTTTGTAGCAATGAGACACCAGTGCCGCCCTCGAAACTTCATAAGAAGCAACCGTCTTTCGAAAAGACCCGAGCTTTTGCAAGACTTCTGTATGAATGTGTTTCAGCCAAGGGGCAGTGCCAATGCAACTCCTGTCATGGCTCAATGCTTTATCTTCAGACTCATTCCCATCCGGATCCTTCGCGTGCCCAGCTCAATTTCAAAATGCTTTTTACCAAGGCCTCCGCCTCCTCCTACAAATGGTTCGAGGGTATTGTCAACGTGACTCTTCCGGATCCAAGTATGAGCACTTCTGTGTCTTCCTGCCAGCGTGATTTGGACCTGAGCCCTAAAGAGCAAGTTGCCATCAGATTCACACTCACTGCGGCTTCCAATAGACCTCCGTCGCGCGACATCGCAATAGAGTCAATTTGTCTCGCTCTTCCAGCAAGCAATATGTCAATTCTCAACCTGGGTATCGAGGGCGGCAAAATGGTCAAGAGACCACCTCCCCGTGAGCGAGCCTCGGCGTCCACATACGATCAAGCGTTGACACTTGACGAAGTCCTACGGATGACGCCACCGTTGCCGCTAAAGCTGCGCCGGATTCTCGCTGTGATTCTTGCTCATTCCGCTTTGCAGCTCTATGAGACTCGTTGGTTGCCGACGACTTTAACCTCGACGCGTGTCATCTTCATGCAAACAGACCAGGGCCAAGTCGTTCCTCGGCCATTAATTGCCGCTCGGCCGGCACAGAAAGAGGACAGAGCTGAAGAGACGCATGATTGGCAGGACCTGGCTCATTCGAGTCCGTTTGTTCTCTCTCTCGGAATCATCCTGCTTGAGTTATGGTTCGGTAAGCATATCAGCGAGTTGCGTGATACAGCGGATATGCCTCTCGACGGGACAGAGGATCCCAATACCGATCTTTTCACCGCGCAGCGATTATGGGAGCAGTCCGAATGGGATATGAGTACCAGATACCGCAATGCAATTGGAGCCTGTGTGAATTGGGATGTTTGGGACTCCGAAAAAGCCAGCCCAGAACATCTCTGTCGATTGTTATATGACCAGGTCGTGTCACCTATCGAGGATCAGTTAGCAGAAGAGTTCAACGCAGATATCGAAGAGATAGATAATCTTCTTTTGTCCTTGAGCAAGAGCAAAGATCAACGGGCCATAAGCCTAGCCCACCAGAAGCGACTTCTGAACGGTGGGAAACGCTCGCATCCCAATGGTTCAATTCAGTCGCACCCTGTCAAACGGCGATACACCGCAGATCAAGGCAGACCATCCCGAAGCTGGAGTCCTTGCCCTGAGTCAGATGACGAGCTATCTTCCCAGATGGACCCAGATACCTATACCGTGGCCATCATCTGCGCGTTGGGTCTGGAATCAAATGCAGTCATAGGCGTCATGGATGAGATTTATGAGAGCTTGCCTGAGGCAGCTCGTAAGGATGCCAATGCATATACAACCGGCCGCATTGGGAAAACTTCCGTCGTCATCGTCCACCTCCCCGGAATGGGAAAGCTCAATTCGGCCAACAGTACAATGCGCCTCAAGTCGACCTTCCCAAAGGTGGGCCTTTGCCTGGTGGTCGGAGTGTGCGGTGGTGCACCCTTCAATTCTCGGGCAAAGAAGGAGATTGTGTTGGGCGACGTGATAATCAGTACCGGACTGAAGCAGATCGACTTCGGCCGCTACTATGCCAACGGCTTCGTTCCGAAGGATGACCCTGAAGATAATTTCGGGCGACCGGTGGACCGTCTGCGCTCCTTCTTGCGCATGCTAAGTGAAACCAGCTACTATTATGATCGCATAAGTGATGAAACGCGTACCACACTAAAAACGCTCCTTCGCTCAGCGACGGGCGAAAGTCTCGCCTACCCAGGTGTCCATCGGGATCATCTGTATGAATCCAATTACCAACATCAATGTCGTGCTAAAAGCGCATGTGAAACATGCAACGTCACCGATGGGACAGTTTGCCAATATGCCCTAGACACATCGTGTGACAACCTGGGGTGTGAGGCGAGTCGCGTGGTGAGTAGGTCTCGTCTGGCTAACCTTGATTCGTCACGCCCAGTGGTGCACTTTGGTCGTGTGGCGTGTGGTGATGGCGTAATGAAATCTGCGCAGGATCGCGATCGGTTTGTTGAGCGATATCAAGTGATCGGGTTTGAGATGGAAGCGGCGGGGGCTTGGGATGCATTTCCGACTGTCGTCATCAAGGGAGTGTGCGACTATGCTGATAGTCACAAGAATAAGCTGTGGCAAGGCTATAGCGCTGCAGTCGCAGCATCGTGTATGAAGGCGGTCCTGACCCAGTGGGCCTCTCGCACACCCTCGGTCACTTGAGCACCGATCTCGGTAGTGGAGGCAATGTCCCTGCTGCGGTTCGATTGCTGTAGGCCACTTTTCTCCAGGCAGAGATGGGTCTGGATCGCTGTCGCCGATAGTCCAAGTAGCTTGGGCTCTTGGTGTCTCCAAAGCTTTCTCGCAGTTTGCAGTGTGCTTAAGACAGTCGAGTGACACAACTGCTGGAGGCATCGACGGGTAGGTAAGGTTTTTAGAAGAAAAAGGACTAATAGTAAAAGGTAATTGGCTCAGGACGGAGATGGTGGGTAAACTGAGACGTGTGAAAGAAAGGGTGAAAGGACTGAGATGCTGGGTGGAAGAAAAGGCGATTTGCCGGGTCTGCTTCAGTCACACGCTGATACAGCAAAGGACTTTGCTCAAGAGGCTGAGCACTGGGAGTCGAGGTGGGGAGTTGTCAAAGGCCGTTCCACAGCTGGGGTTGATGGCAGCTCCATTTGAGAGACAGACGTCTAGATGGCACAGGTTTTGCAAAATGACTTTCCCTGGCCGCCAGAGCTGCGGACACCCAGCCTCGGGCTGAATGCAGAATGCATTACAGGGCATCACACCAGAGTCCAATCTGCCACGTACCACTAGATCGACCTCAATCGAAGCATAAACCAACGCAATTGTCTTGTCGACATGCTGTCCCCAACGTCCCTGGACTCCAGTCTCATCTCCTTAAGAGATGGGCTCGGAATATATCGTCCTGCGAATAGATGACCCACTATGTCCCGCGGCCTCCGCGCTTGTGGTTGTGGCTCTGTAATCGTGATCGACTTGAGCGGTATTGAAACCGGTCCCCTAAGTTTGTAAGGGACCTGTAGAGCGAACCGGAGGTTCTCGTCGGATCTTTGCCTGATCATCCACTTCACCCGCACTGGGGATGACGATCTGCGACAAATGAGTTCCGGACCGTGCCACCAAGGTACGCGAGGGACCTTGAGGCCGCCGCCTCCGTCGCATAAATGAAAGACGACAGCGAGACCTTCTCACCCTCTCTAAAGTCTGATCACCGTATTTGCCGTACGCTACATCATCATGCATTGCATGCTAGACAAACTACCATTGGAGCTTCTGGAGCTCATCTGCGACGAGCTCGAAACTCAGGATCTAGCCTCTCTGCTGGGAACATGTCGCCACACATACAACCGAACAATCCACCGCCTGGCCCAACGCTACTCGGAGATCCACCTCGATTTCTCCAAGGGGAGCCTCAGTCAAATCCACGCGATCGCCAATAACGAGATTATGCGACAGCATGTTCAGCGGTTGGTGGTCATGGCCCCCGAACCGTTTCTCGGGCGCAATCTCGAATGGCAGCGCAGCGCCGCGGGCCATATTTTCAACCCCCTCGAAAATCCCACTATCCAACAGTTCCGCAACAATCTGGTCGACAAGCTGGTCAATTGCCGATCGTTTGTAATTTCACCGCTAGGCAACCATCTTGCGCCCGACGAAGACGAGATGGATGTGTCCTATGACCAACACTTCACCCCCGACGACGCCGCGAGCATCCTGCTTGACATTATCGCCGATACTGCTTTGCCCGTGAAGCTATTCTGGTATGGCAGGGGAACGAACTATAGGTCCGAGATCATGAACATTCAGAGATTGCCAAAAACGCTCTTCCTCAGTCCAGGCTTTCGTGCCGGATGGGGATCCCTCACAAACCTCCATCTGGAGCACAAACTCACGCCACACAACTATTCCTTCCTTTTGAATATGCTGCTCAGCACGCCGAATCTTCGGAAACTCTATCTCAGTCTGACACCTAAAGACTTGGCCATCGAATTCTACTCGTATGTCGCCAAGTCAGAGTCTTTATCCTGCCTGTTGGAACGGATATCGCTCTGCTGTACAGCTATTCGGTCGTCAGATCTCATGCACATCCTCGATCGGTCTCGACATACGTTGAAGCGATTGATCCTTTCTGACGTTGGAGGCTTGTCGGGGAGTTTACCGCAGTTGCAGGACCAGTTGTCTGGCTTCCCCTGTCTGGAGAAGGTGGACTTAAGAATGTGCCAATGATCAATCATTATGCACGGTACCAAATGAGATACGAATTACGCCTTCTACCCGCCCCACACATCCTTTCGCCACCGTCATACCTGCTGCAGGTGCGGGTTTTACTCTGCGATGTAACATATACCCACCACCAACACCCTGCTCGCACCCAGGACGACGCCACCAGATGGCGTCTTTCACAAGACTGAATCCTGACGAACAACACAGCCTTTCATCACGTGCACGCCTTCCGCAGTCCGGGCAGTCATCAGGACTTGCCCCAAGGTCTTGAAAGAGGATTAAGCAGCTGTCACGGCCTGTTAGCGAGCCGGAATCTGCAGGCTGGTTGTTGAGTTATGATTGTTCGCTTGCTGTCTCGGTCATGGCACTTCGGCCATGGTCGACCCAGGTTTCCAAATTTAGAATTATAATCCAAGAAAGTTCCTCTATCTTCGAATCTTCATTTGCTCTCTGATGCCCTCCTTGAACACGGGTCTTAGTTCGATGGCATTCCCCAGCATTGCTGTTGAAGACTAGTCCACATCTCAATGCTGCATATTACTGAATTAACAGATCAAACTACCAACAGGGGGACGAGCACGTCTATAAACCCTTCCCCTAGGGTCGAGGGTCGCTTCGAATGCGACCCAGTTGCGGGGACGATCTTGGCACAAATGATCCACACTTGTCTAGTTGGTGAAGGCCGATCAATCTGACGAGACAGTAGACAACCCTGTCACCTTAGGGAATGATGCTCTTACTACGCAGATCACTGCCCGGACATCCCTGAATACTCCGATAACCCGAGCCTGGCGTCCAATGTCGAGTACACGTAGACTCGGATCTCGGGAAGGTCGGACGAAAGCCTCGAAGGAATGCTCTCCACCAAGGCCAAAAATAGAATATGGCGCCACGTGTAATTCTCTGTTCATTCTTCCATATACCCGTCACCGCCAATGTTTAGGCGCGTGCAAGCCGCAAAATGGCATTTTCTTCAACCAGGGTCCCATAACATATCATTCCCGTACAATCGTTCGAATCACGCCACCCTGTGACCCCACGCACAACAACCTTCCAATGCATGAGTTGACTTCCTCGCTTGACCCGTTATACTCCTCTGGTGGGAAGGGATCCATGCGGTATTTCTTTCTTCACGGGGGTTACTCTCGGTTACCTTTCCCCGATGATGAGGTTTCAGTCGAGGCCAAGGTTCTAGTCTTCAATGGACAGGGCAAGATGTAAGCCGCGACAATCTTATATGCAAACCACTTTCGAGTTCATTCGTTAATTGCGATTCATAGTGTATTCGACCACAGCACAGATGAGCCAACCTCTCAGTACCGCTTCATCAGCCGCGCCTTGGTATCTGTCGATGACCGACAAGACGCCTACGTACCCGCTAGAACCTTCGTAGAAACATTATTGAAGAACATTTCCATTCCCACACTGCTATTCGCTGAGATTCCACGGTGGGTACTTACTCCTCGGCTTGTCTGGTGTGTGACCCTCTTCCAAACGAAACCTGTGACTGAGACGATTCAGGGACCAGGTCATTGCGGGGGACACCGAGGAGGATAGCCAGTTTCTATACGTGTAAGTGTTTGGCCCCTCCCTCCTCGTCCCTTCCCTTCTTCCCCACCTTCTTTCCCCCAATGTTCCCTCCTCCCCCTCCTCCCCCTCCTCCCCCAACAACCACTAACACCCACCAGCGTCCTCGTCACTCTAGGCCGCACCGGCCTCGACCAAGCCTCCTTCCAAGACTATGAGTACCTGAAAAGCATGCTCCACAGCTTCGTGCCGCGCTTCGCGACGGTCGTCTCCCAGATCAGCGACGCGTACCTGCCCGGAGATGCGCGCAACCTCTCCGACCAGATCGCCGGCCTGATGATGCCTGACCCGTCAGCAGAGGAGACCAAGGATCTCCGCACGTTCCTCGCGCTCTACGCCAAGCGGTATGTGCATGAGGCCTTGGGCGCAGCGGAGATCCTGAAGCGGTGTCTGATGCACATGGTCAAGATGCCGTTTGAGCTGGAGTCGTCGATTCGGTATGGGCTGATTGTCAATTGAATTGGCGGAGCGTGGGTTGTTGGAGCGAGACGCTGTACATAATCGAAACTAGTGGGGTATTGTATCTGCGGCTGGAATTTATAATATGTTCTTCTACATGGGGACTTGTGGGCATCGGATTGAGCATTATTACAGAATCGTGTGCTTCTGGATGGTGGCAATGTACCTATGTTGGACCCGAGGGGCCGAGATCCGAGATCGCCGACGGGGGTTCTAGCCCAATCGAGGGTACTGAGGTACATACAGTAAGACGACTAGTTGAGATTGTATTCGGACATTGCACAGGATATAATCAAGTCGAGAAAATGAGGAGTGGTTTCCTAGAGTGAGATTCCATCTTCAAACCGACAGCGCCATAAGAACAGCCATCACCGTTCCAACAATCGGCCCCAGCACCGACCCCTGCGCTCCCGCAGCAGCAGCGCCCGTGTATAACGCACCCGCCGCGCTACCGGTACCGGAGGGCACAACGGCCGCGCTCATTGCACCGCCACCGTGCTGACTGCTGCTCGCGGGAATTAGACGCGCTGAGGTGGGCAAAGCAGCGTGACTGCTCGTCGCGAAGCCCAGCTGTCCGCCGGGGGTGTAGTGCGGAGCCGCCGCGCCGACGGCGGTCGATTGAGCGGCATCGGTCTTCGACACAGTGATCGTGCTGACGTATCCGGTGCAAGTCCCGTTACTTGAGCAGGAGTCCACGGTGATGGTGGTCGTGTAGGTCGTATCTGCGCCGGCTGCAACGCCGCCGTCGGCTAGAGTGGCATAAGTGGGCACGGGGACAGCGGTGACGGCGTCGACACCTTCCGCCGCAACGGAGGTCTGGACAGCTGAGGTGACCGGGACGACGGTCGTGGCGACGACCAGGGTCTCAGTGGTCAGGTATGCGCCCTGCGAGGTCTGACAGTGGGAATCGTCTTCGACGCAGGCGCTGACGGTCGCGACTCGGGTACTGAGGACGGTGGAAGTCGTCTGCGAAGGGGCATTACCGGCAGCACCGGCGCCGCCGCCGCGGACTTCAGTGGGCTTGTTCGCCACGGGGTAGACGGTGGTTCCGATCACCAAGGTCTCGGTGGTCGGCTGGGCGGTCTTCGATCTGGCGGGGCAGTCGGTCACGGATGACGGGCACGCGGTGATCGTGGTCGTGCGCGTGGTCAGAATGGTGGACGTTGTCAGCTCCGGGCTGCTACCTGCTGCATTCACACCGGCAGGGCCTGTAGTTGCAAGGGCGGTGGGGTTCGCTCCGTGAGCACTGGTTGCGTCCGCTACCGGGCAAATGGTCGTGTAAGCCACAACTGTCTCGGTGGTGAGATAGGTAGTCTTGAAGCGGGCCGGGCAGTCTGTCACAGAAGAAGGGCAGGCGGTGATCGTCGCAGTGCGAGTGGTGAAGACGGTCGAGGTAGTGAGCTTGGGACCACTGTTGCCCTGACCATGAGCACCCGTGTCCGCAGATGATGAGGAGGTCGTGGGCACGGCTTGGACGGCGGTGGTGGCGGCTTCAGCCACAGGGCAAATGGTAGTATACGCAACAATGGTCTCAGTGGTGAGATAGGTTGTCTTGGACCGAGCTGGGCAGTTGGTCACGGAGGAAGGGCATGCCGTGATGGTTGCAGTGCGGGTTGTAAACACGGTGGAGGTGGTCAGCTCAGAACTACCATTGCCCTGTTGGCCATTGGCACCAGCACCTGCAGAGGTGGGAACAGCTTGAGTGATGGTGGCTGCTTCGGTCACAGGGCAAATGGTAGTTGACACCACCACCGTTTCCGTGGTTACGAAGGTCGTCTTCGCGCTGGCAGGGCAGTTGGGGATTGTAGTCGGGCAAGCTGTGATGGTGGCGGTCCGCGTGGTGAGGACCGTAGACGTGGTGAGTTGCGGACCTGAGGAGCTGGATGCAGCCGTGGTACCCAATTCAGCAGCACCGGTGGAAGTCAAGATCGAAGTATCAGTGACAACAGTCGGCGTTGGCGCAGCTGGCGTAGTTTGGACAGGCCGTGAGGAGGGAATGAAAGCGCTCGAGCTCGCACTTGACGAACAGCTGCGGTGCGGCAGAGGTCGGGAGACGTAAGTCCAGTGAGGCCGCGAGCTTGCTGAATGGCTTGGAACTGGTCGCGATGAAGGGATCACGGAGCTGGCCGCGGGTGATGTCCTTACTGGGAAAGATGATGGGGCGGAAGGGCTGATCACTGGCGTGACCCTCACGGGGGACGAGGAAGGAATGGCAAGCGATGTGGCAGGTGTAGCCACAGATGAAGGAATAGCAGACGATGGGGCAGGTGTAGCCACCGACGAAGGAATGGCAGAAGACGAACGAGCGCTACAGGGTCTGCGACTGGGCAATGGCCTGGAACTATAGGTCCAGTGATGATGAGTTGCTGTGGCCACCGGGGTAGAAACGAGAGCAGTGGTGGTGGGTTGAATATCAACGGTCAAGGCGAGGGCTTGCGCCAACAAGGCGGCAAGTATCCATCCTCGCGCCAGCAGATGCGCCATCTTGCTTTGACGGTCTCGTCTTCCTGCTCAAAGATAAAGAATGTATAAGGTAAGGGAAATTAAAAGAGGGATTGAGAAAAGAGAGAGAGTATAGGTGTGAAAATGGTCAATACATTGAAAATGAAAGAGTGACAGGGGAGTTGGGGTTGGTTGGGAAGGACCGGGAATGAGATGAGGGAATGGTGAAGACTGCCGTATTTACGGCATTCGACAATGGTCCCAAAATAAAATCGCTCATGGCGAGTGGGGATCAGGATCTTGTTCCTGAGTTAGTTCCTCGTGTTTTTTCACACTATTGATCTCGATGTCAATGCGAGGTGAAAATAGCCGACGGCGACGCCGAAGGAAGAAAAACTTAGGAGGAACTAGAGGGTATTTAGGACAACTTCCGCTCCCCCCAATGAACACGGATGAACAGAGTCAAGCATCCTCCTTCTCCACGCAAAATGTCTCTGAAATTCATTCCCCTTGTTGCGTGCCTCCTGCTTGGGCAGGCGGCGGCCAATGTTCCGGTGCCTTCGAGTTCCCCGGTGGCCAGCAGCAGCCAGATTCAATCTCAAGCCCGGGCTAGTGTTTACTGCCATACAAAATTGGGAACTAGCTCTGTCTCTGGGGACCTGCCTACATCAACTATTACTCGTACTCGTCATGATCCTACTGCAGTCGTGATCACCTCGACTACCCAGGGCACGGTGACAGAGACTCCTGCCTTGGTGACGGTGACAGCCACCGATTATGTGACCATCGTTCTGACGACCACCGCTGATACCGTCACCGATACCTTCTCGACCACCTCCACTGACTTTACCACGTCAACGACGATAGTCACTCTCCCCACCGTGACCAGCACCCTTGCCACAACGGTGACGACCACGACCACCTCTACCACCACCGTCGCTACCTCAGCTGGGTTCACTCCACTTGCTGAGTCACTGCCCACCGCCACGGCAGCCAAGCGCTCTCTTCTCGACACTGAGGAAGAAGACTGCGCCGCATGGCTAGATGATTATCAGTATCCCCAGGCTGTGGAGTGTCACGAGAAGATTGTGGTGAAGACCACCAGCGTGGAGACGGTGACTGCTGTGCCCATCACCACGACGGCTGCAGGCTCAACCACCACTACCACGGTGACCAACACGGTCCTGACCAGCTCGGTGGTGGTTCCCAGCGACGTCTCAACTACCCTTAGCTTCAGCACCACCTCCACCATCACCGAGACTGCCACCGCTCCAGCTGTGACGACCACTGTCACCTCAACCAACACCGTCTCCGTCGTCAGCAGCACCACCGTGCTCGGTGCATGCGCTACCAACAACGTCCCCGGCCTACCGTTTTCTTCGGACTACGGTAACTTCGCTGGCCAATATACCTATCTCCTGTCCTTCACCAACGTTCCCGGCGAGAGTATCACCGTTGGCAACACCGGTTCGGCCTACGACTGCTGCGTCAGCTGTCAGGAGTCCAGCACCTGCGCCATGTCGTATTATAACCACGTTACGTCTTCGGTCACCTACTGTTACCTGATCCATACCACCACCTGCAACAGTGCGTCGACCTACGCCAAGGCCTCCATTCACAGCTCCGCAGCCACGATTCAGATGTCGAATGGGCCCTGTGGTCAGGTTCGGGGTGTGGAGGGTTGAGTGTTCATGTACTAGAGTTAGATTAACATAATGAAGTGAATCTCGCATTGTCGATGCACCCTGACATCCCTGTAGATGGAATTGATGCCTTAGGGCGGATCGAGTGGGAAGAGGTAATGCTCCGGAGTCCGGACGTATCACGCCTTCCCGCCCAATGGAAGGCCGAGGCCTCGCTAACTTCCTCCGAGCTTCTAAACATTACCTAGCATTTAATGAGACTGGAAACTAAAATGGATTTCGACGACATAAGTCTTGCAAGGTTCGAGAGACTTAAGAAAGAATGGATAGCTCTGTGCTCAACCTCCTCCCAGGGTATCTGCCAAGTTGCCAGCAGGTATCGCGGTCGCGACGATTGTTTACTCCGCTCTATGCACTGTGGGTCCTTCAACTTCAGCTTCCGGCTTCATTGGGAGGATGGGGAGCCAGATTGGTTGATTAGATTTCCCCTGCCGGGAAAGTCCATGTTCTTGGATGAGAAGGTCCAGAATGAGGCCGTCCTGATGAAATTCATCGCTGACACGACGCGCATCCCTGTCCCGCGCGTCATTGCTCACGGTGGAGCAGAGCAGAATCCTACCGGTCTCGGCCCCTTTATGATCATGACCTGGGTAGAAGGCACAAAGATGTCTGACCTTCTTCGCAAAGGTGGCGATACACCTGAAAAAGAGGATGCACTGGATCCAGACGTTGACCCGCAGATACTGAAGATCCTGTACGGAGAAATGGCGGAGATTCTGCTAGAGTTGTGGAGCCTGGATTTCAGTCATATTGGCAGCCTTCGCGAACAGAAGACACTACCCTTGACCAAAGTTGAAGGCCGACCGTTGGCTCTCGAAGTGAACGAGTTGATTAGAACATGTGGCTTGGAAGATTGCGCCCCGTCAAGAGTCTATCACAGCTCGCTGGAGTACATACATTCTCTCTTGCGCCTGCAGGACACCCACCTGGAGAGGCAGCGGAACAGTGTCTACGATGCGATCGACTGTCGGGAGAAATATGCCTGTCGCAGTTTGTTGAAAGCGGTGGCTCTGAGCTTTTTATCTCCCATCGATAATGACGGCCCATTCAAGCTATTCTGTGATGATCTGTGCCCTGGGAATGTGCTTGTCAACGATTCCCTCCACGTAACGGGCGTCATCGACTGGGAATTCTGTTACGCTGCGCCTGCCCAGTTCGCAGGCAGTATTCCGTGGTGGTTGCTTCTCGAGCGACCGCAGAAGATCCTCAACAGTCAGGGCCCCGAAGCGTTCTTTCGGTCTTTCTTGCCCCGGGCCGACTGTTTTCTGCAGGCCTTGGAGTTGAAAGAGAAAATCAGAGGACTGGGCGTGGAAGATGATCGACTATCGGTGAGAATGAGACAGTCTATCGACACCAAGAGCGCATGGTTCTACCTCGCTTGCCGGTCAGTCTCATCCGTCGATCTATTGTACTGGGACTTGCTAGATGAGCACTGCTGGGGTAAGAGGTCGTCAGTCGCAGACCGGGTACGCTCTTTCACAGCGAACATTGGCCTCCACAAGGATCGCGAGGACTTTGTCCGGTCGAAAATTGTGCAATTACAGGAATATTATGCTGAACTGGGTGAAGCGACCGACATAAGGTATGAGGAAGAGGAAGAGCTGCATGACGAAAATAGGACCGACAGGGTTCATGTACAATTGGCATCGGAGACATCGAATAAGGGCACTCCTGCCTCATTTGCCTCTTTTGGCTACTGGGAGCTTGAAGACAAAAGCCTAAAAAGATTGGTCACTGCGATCGCCGTCGCGAGCATATTTGTTATGGGCGCCGCTTGGAGGCGTCGGGGTCCTTAGGCTGCGAGATGATGCATGGTGATTCTCTTTTTGACCATGATAGAGGCCACGTTCAGTTGAGTTCAGTTGGCATCGACTAAGGTCAATAAGAGCTAGGCTGGGCAATCATCCGTCCAAGGGGATAGAGACTATGTGGAGTAGGTGTGAATGATCTGCGCAACGCCAATGGGATTGCTGCCTTAGGCGTCCAAATTACAGTATATTGCGGTTCGGATCCTTGCTTCGAAGAGCTGCATTGCAAGTCTATTACACCTCCAGAGGCAACCACTTACATCATCACTCCAGCCGTACTGTGCCTCAAGGGCACTCTAGGCTAATAGACGAACACTCCCGTTGAGCCCAATCGGCAACGAAACTACCGCATGAGAGTGGCATTTACGGGACCCGGTGCAGGAACGGCGGCAATTAGCGCCCGCCAGTGCCCGTCCCGTCAAGCCTCTTATTGACTGGGATGCCACAACGTGCTCCATGCTGGAGGCTGGAGAGCAACTGGGAGGGTGGTTAGCTACATCTCTTTCAGCAACTGGAGAAGCGGGGTGGGGGCTACTGAAAAGATCCATGCGCACGTGTGCACCGCAGTTTGCCGAGGATGCTACAGTTGGTCGAGTTATATATTCCTCTGCCCCCGGCAAAGCACAGTCTAATGTTGTCACTTGAACAAGATAACCACCTCACGAGGCTTCATCACCATGGTGCGCTACACTGTGCCAACCCTTCTAAGCCTTGCGTCTGGAATTTGTGCACTCCCAAACGTCAAGTTGACAGACCAGTCCGGAACCCGCCTTCAGTTCAACAGCAATGGCACGTTCCAACTGTCGATCTTCGAGGACTTGCATTACGGCGAGGGTGAGCTGTCTGTTCTTCGTCCTCTGCACAATCATAACTGACGATACAATCAGCAGAAGACACAACCTGGGGACCAATCCAAGACGTCGAAAGTACTGCGGTGATCAATACCATCCTCGATAATGAAAGCCCGGACCTGGTCATCCTGAACGGCGATCTGATTACTGGCGACAACACCTTTCTGTCGAATGCGACCGACTACATCGACGAGATCGTTGCTCCCCTGGTTGATCGCCAGTTGCTGTGGGCTTCCACCTACGGGAATCACGATAGTGACTACAACCTGTCGCGCAGCGCCATCCTCGAGCGAGAGCAATCCTACCCCAACAGCTTGACCCAAAGCATGGTTGCCGGGGAGCTCGCGGGGGTATCCAACTACTACCTGCCCGTTTACCCCTCCGACTCCTCTGCGACTACGCCGGCGTTGATCATGTGGTTCTTCGACAGCCGTGGCGGGAACTACTTCCAGGAACTGGAGAATGGCAGCGAAATACCGCAGCCGTGCTGGGTGGATGCGTCGGTTAGTAGATTTCGTGGGGCTCCGCTCTACTGTCCCCCTTCATGCAATAAACTCACCAGTGCGGGCAGGTAGTCGAATGGTTCACGCAGGCCAACGCCGACCTCACCAAACAATACGGTAAAGTGATCCCCTCGATTGCCTTCTACCACATCCCAGTGAATGCGATGCTCGCCTTCCAGAACCAGGGCGTGGACGCCCACTCGGAACCGGGCATCAACGCCGACGACCCCCTAGATCAGCAAGGTGAGGCCAGTGGACAGGGCGCGGTATCCGGGACGGTGTTCAGCTACTCGGGTCAGGATATCCCGTTCATGGAGGCGTTGTTGAACACCGACGGTCTGCTGGCGACATTCAGCGGCCATGACCATGGTGATGACTGGTGAGCACTTCATCCCTCCTGACCATTCCACCTCCTCTTGCAGCATCATATTTACAGAGCCAGAACTGACTCTCTGGACAGGTGCTTCAAATGGGACTCCCAGCTCCCCGGAATGAACCTCACCGGCAACGGACTGAACCTGTGCTTCGGACGCCACACGGGCTACGGCGGGTACGGGTCCTGGACGCGGGGATCGCGACAGATCCTGCTGGACGAGACGACCCTGGAGACGGAGATCGCGACCTGGATCCGGCTGGAGGATGGGTCGGTCTCGGGCCAGGTGAGCCTCAACGCGACCTACGGGGAGGATCGGTACCCCGCTGTCGCGACCACCTATACCTAAAGAGAGCTCGGATCAAGGAGCTTCGAAACGTGCAGGTGTTCAAGTGACGCAGGGGCCCAAGGCAACTCCCGCCTCCCGCTCTCTCGCGGACCCCTTCACACAGCACTGATGCACTTTCTTCTAAAGTAGAAGTCCATAAGCGAGAAAGATCTTCATGAGCAATGACATGTGTAGCCGATCACTTCCTTCAAAGGCTCCGGTGGTCCGGGCGCAATACGTCAACGCTCGGGGATCCATTCATGGCACTCACGCTTGTCCCATCTTAGCATCTGTGCTTGTCGCGGAATTCTAGCGTAGATTAAACCCCCTCCCCTCTCCGGAATGGATGGGATGGCATCCTTCTTCCCCGTCGATCTTTGCCATCCGAGAACGACTGCCGAAATCGGGCCCAGAGTTCCTGACAAAGGGGAAACCGACGACGTCATTGCCGACAGAGTACTAGGTACGGATACGAGGATGGATTTGTAATGTTGATGCCTCAGGAAGTCATCGACACCTCGCGTCATCCCTCGGAATTCGGTTCCAGAAGCGAATCTAATCTGGTTGATTTATAAGGCACCTAGATCAAATGCGTGCAATCAGTCATCAATCATATTCGCCAGATGTGGTGGTCGTCGGTTCTATAATTACAGCTAGGGGGGTAATAGATAGTGTACGGTACAATGAAGCTGAAAACAAAGTCTGGTCAACCAAGCCAAACCGTGACCCTGTAACTCACGATCCCAAAGTAGAATCATAAGAACAAAAAGAAACCTCTTCCGAAAGGAACGCCATATCTATACAATCCGAACGCTGATTTCCCTTGCAAAATCAAACCAAGTGCTTCCTGAAAGTGTCGTAACAAAATATCGTGGGGAATCTCTTTTGTGTCGTTATTGAAACCAGTTGATGGTTGGTTTACTCCCGAAGAGTCCGGTTGTGTAGGCCATTGGTGGGCTCGGGCTCGGGGATTTTCTCTTCTCCTTCCATCTGGCGACCGTAGTTGGACTTGGGGCCGTGGACGTCGTCGTGGTTGTGCGAGGCGATTAGGATGATTGCACTGCAGGGGAAAACTGGGGTTAGCGGATGGTTCGTCAAGGAGAGTCATTCGGGGGAACATACCTGACGACGGTAAATACCCAGCCGGGCCATGCGAGGACCACCGAGGCGAGGGCTTTGGGGTTCGTGCGGTACACTGCTTAAGCGTTAGTATATAGATCTTGAATGAATTGAGAGGAATGTTGCACGCACCGAAAGCAGGCTTCTTCTTCGACTCAGACCAAAACTGTCTCGCGCCGGCGGCATCCGTGCCATGGACCTGGACGCTTCTTGTTGCGGTGATTATCTGGAGAGGCGGAGTTTAGCATCTCTCTTGTGATAGTGTTTTCGTCTCTGAAGGTCCGCATACCGTCATCGTCAACGCCGAGCTAAGCATCATGATGGACACCACCACACCGCTGATCTTCCACGCCAAACGGACGGACTTGCTCTCGTGGCGCTCCGGCCAGAACAGGTCGAAGAAGAAGGCGGCGCCGAAGATAGTGGCAACAGCGACGCCGACGAAGATGTTGTAGGAGGCGGCCCCGATAAAGTCGTTGTTGTAGACTGATACTCCTGGGTGGTGGCGCTCGATGTAGCTTTGTTGATCGACGTAGTCTAATCGCAGGAAAGGTCATGAGTATTGGTTATTGCACGATATACTGTACAAGGTTGAATTTACCTGATAAGGCGGCCGTGCCGGTAGACTCGGAGCACACGCACAGAATCATGGCCAGCTGATAGACGATCATCTTGGTGCGACGGAGGTGGTAGATGCGGGTGAACATGTTGGAACTCTTGAATTTGTTCCATTGGATCTCCTTGAGATCCAGGCCCCAGATGACTGTCATTGCTGCGTATGGTGTGTGGTGTGTGGTGTGTGGTGTTGGGAGGGGGAACGGGGCGTAAGGAGTGGTGGTATGGGAGAGTGAGGTGGAATAAGAGGTGAAGGGAAGGATTAATTCGAAGATAGATATCGATAAAATGAATGTAGAGGAGTATTAAAGTAAGAAAGTAAGAATTGATGAAAGAAGGAAAGCGGAGCCATGGGCCACGAACAGGGTCCGGTCGGGATCGGCAACGTGACGTCAGGAGCAAAGGAATGAATAATCAACAGACACAAAACACAGTTGCACCCACCACGTCACGGCTGCCATTTCTCCTCGCATCTCACACAGATAAATCGTGGCCACCCAATAACTGGCAGTTGCACGCTGTGGGTCAATAGTGAAAAGGCTTAGTACACCCATGATATCAGCGGGACTCTGGCCCGTCACTACATCTACCTATTGTGGTAACAGTCACTGTCGATAACGACGAGTATCGCATCTGGCCTACGATTCCCCTATGTCATTTCCCTCGAGTTGTCTCTCAATTTTGCTCTGACTCTTGATCACCCAGAGCGACTCACGCTGCGCTGGCATTATCCTGTCATATCTATGTCGATAATCAATGGTCAAAGAATTCTCCGCATCTGCAATGACAACATTTGCAGTGGGAATGCATTGTTAATTGCGATTAGGGCCCAGGCCCCACATCGTCTCTGCATGCAACATGGAGAAGGCTACAGCGAGCCCAGCATCCGCCGAACCCTTGATTTATTTATTCTTGCCTTCAGGAAAGTGTCGGATCAAGAAGGTTTCAAGTGACATGTAAAAATTCAACCCACCCGTGGTTGACTATGTATACACCCCTGCCCCTTTTTCCAGACCCCGTCGGCACCAGATGCCTCATGTCAGAGTCGCCACCTTCCCAGACAGACCGTCACCGCGCGACTGATACGGTCGGGTGGAGCCTTCGTTCCTGGGGAATCGTACGCGACACCACAGAACCAGTTGATCAATTTTTATGGGTATACGAGAGGCTCATATACCTTGAAAAGGAGCAAGGCTTCGGCTTGAGCGATGCTTGAGCGATGCTTGAGCGACCGGAGTTAATCCCCACTTTTGACGCGTTTTGCTGGGTATTCGTTCCGCTTTTCTCTGGATCGAAATCCAGGTGCCTTTGTGCCTTTGTCTGATCTTTCTGTTCGATCGGGGTTCCACCCTGGAGTTATGCTATTGCTATGGTTATTTGGTAGGTGGTCACGGGTCGTCCTTGGTGAGAGTTGAACATTACGAGGTGTTGTGTCACCATGCTCCAGACTCGATTCTCGTATTATCATACTCGACTGTAGCGAGTCGACCCATGAATGAGGTGGAAATAGGTTTGTATGAGTAGGTGAGCAACACCTGTTCTCCTGTGCAGGTCAATTGACAGGGGTAAATGATGTAATGGGTCCAAGGAGCTCCGCCATTCGCCCAGCGGACGATCCTTTACATTAGCCTGCAGAATGCGCCTGAATCCGTACTCTACTTGGATCTTGACCGATCGCATCCATTTCTTAATTATACCAATAGCTTCAGAAGCGCAGGGGATGTATCAGACACCATGCAAGGTGTCTCCAAATATTAATTGGACACACCTTGCGCTGGTCGACTCTATAGCCATACTTAGGGCAACGTCAACTACAGAATGAAGACCAAGACCACCATATTTATCCAAACTTGCTTATGTGAAGGAAAACAGAATGTCAAGATCATATGTACAACCCAATCGAAGAGCTCTAGCAACGCCATACCAGGAATCTAACCATGTAGAATATACCCCAACCGTCCTTATCCCCAACGCCAAACCCACAGAAAAAGCTCCATCCCAAACCTGCTATACCGAAACCAACCCCGACATCTCCGAAGCAACAACCACCGCAGGCCCCTTCACCACATCCGCAACCACCACCTCCTCAACCTCAACCCTCCCCCCCTCGACAGCATAACCCGGTAACTCCGGCTCGCGCCAAGACTTAGGCGAGAAGAAGAGGATTTGCTTCAACGCGCCCGCCGCCAGGGCCTGCGTGCGCGCCGCATCGACCAACCCGATCCCCTCGGCCCGGCCGCGCCTACACACCGTCGCCAGATCAATCCTCTCCACGCGCCCGGGTCCACCATGCTGAATCGCATCGGCGATCAACGCCCACGCCAGCGGATGATACAGCACGGCCTCATGCGAACAAAACAGGCCGCCGGCCGCCGCGAAGGAGCGCGGGACATGCAGCTGCAGCTCGCAATTCGTGACGCCGACGCCGCGCGCATCCGCCAGGAAGGCGGACGCCCCCGGCCCGGACTGCGGCTGCACGACCTCATCCGTCGCGGAGTAGATGGAGGTGGTCGGCACATACGCGGAATCCCCGCCGCCGGAGCGGAGGGTCCTGATGAACGCGGCATTGCGGGTCTGGTTCCACACGGCCGGGGTGCCCGGCTGGGTGCCGGGGAACGGACAGAGCGCCCACGCGGCCACGGTGCCGGCGAAGTCCGCCGCGAGGGCGACGAAGCTCTGCACGGGGCCGCGCGCGCTGGGCCAGTATTTCAGCGCCCACTGCGTCGTGATGCAGCCCTGGGACCAGGCGATGACCGCGATGTGCGAGTGGGCGCACCGCGCGGAGAGGTAGTGGATCGCGTAGGCGACGTACTCGGCGTTGCGGGCGGAGGCGTCGCACATCCGCCCGGGGATGTTCAGCCACACCGGGTCGCCGAAGGGGCTTTGGCGCAGCAGTTTCGTGAGGTTGGGCGCGTAGGCTTCGCCGCCGTGGGTGCCGGTGCCGGGGACGAGGAGGACGGGCGTCCGCCCGTCGCGGCCGTACTGGAAGTCGGCGGGGATGTGGATGGCGGAGCGCAGGGAGGTCTCGGGGATGGAGTACGGTGCGTCCAGCTCGGAGACGCGCGGGTAGATGCTCGTCGCGAGGTCCAAGTTCTGGTTGTCAACGGAGTTGATGTCCACTGCAGGAGCCCCGTGGCCCAGCATGGTGCTGGCTAGGTTCGTGCTGCGTGCGCGGAGGGAACGGCGGTAGGTTGAGAGGTGCTTGTAGTACGTGTCGAAGAAGGGGATCTGCACGAAATTCATCGTGATCTTGGGGTATGTATGGTTCTAGTGTCTCTTTGGCTTTGACACGGGGACACTATGTGGGTATTCCGGATGGCACGCCCGGAGAGGATCATCCTGTCGATCGACCCTTGACTTTATATATTCAGGGTTCTTGGGCGTCACGGTTGGTCAACGAGTGACAAAAAAAAGCCAATCGCTTGGAAAGAGCACAGAGCACTTGCTGATGTCGCGAAAATAGTATCCCAAACGAAACCCGCGATTCGAAGTCTGGGCGTGATTTCCCCTTGGCGGCGTCGGCAATTCTTACCTCTGGCGGAGATGCCGATACAGACGCGAGCGCGGCTCCACATCCACCCTCCCTTCAGTGACCATGAAAATTTGATGTGGAGAAGGCCGTGTCGTATCTCCCTATTTCAAGGCTGCGTTGGGTCTTCAGCCGCTCGCTTCAGCTGGCGACCTCCGAACTAGTCCTATGTGGCTGATCAGGTCACTAGCTGAATCGAGATAAGCAGCCCGAGAAGAAAGCTTCATAACAGCGGCGATGCAGCGCCAGCCAGCCGCGCTATTGTTCTATTTTCCCTTGCGATTGTGGCTGGCTCGTGTTCGGTTCAAGCTGCCGCAACCTGAGCGGTGAATTTTCTTGTGTCTGTGCTGTGTCTTCGCCCTTCAGTGCACAATCTCAGGCATTCTTGGTTTCGATTGCGCCCCTATTGCTTCAGGGTATGAGATCGCGAGCCGTCTGTACGGTGCCGTGGTTTTCCACAGCAGAGCAGCTGGTGTTGCCAAGAACTTTTCCAGATCGCTCGGTCCAGAGCCCAGCTGGTCTGGATATGGTGACTAGCCAGCTGCGAATAGCCACTATCTTAGTGATGTCTTCAGCATGTTTGGCCGAGCGAACCAAAAGGTCCAGACCATGGCAACTCGATTATCTGCTGATGCAGAATCCCTGGTGCTCCTGGACAGTCCTAGACGTGCTGTTGGCGGTTAAGGGGTCTAAGTGGGCCCTGGGCTGTTAGAGCCAACTCTATCCTTATGTCGAGTCCAGATTGCATGAACGGGTCTGATCTTCGCAGGGGTGGGTATCACTCGAAGTCTGGTTCGAGCAGCTCTCGTCCGTCAAATAGTGGAAGGCCTCGCCCGGAATGACCGCTGGCTGCAGCAGAACGTGGTGTCGCGCTGGATGTGGTTGCCATCGAGGAGTGTTCCTCAGGTCATGTGCCGCAGGTGAACCCTTGTTGTCACCCTGGATGCTGAAGACCTTGCAATGCTCTGCTTCGCACATTGGGCATTGGTCTCTCCAAACAGTCCATACGCGCCCTGAGAGCGTAGTATGCAACGGCTCAGCCACTTAATTCTCAAAGTCTTTTCGCGCAGAACGTAAGATGTCGTGCCTGCCATCGAGCTTGTGCTGGCTGGGGCATCAGGGCTCAGGAAGGAGTCCTCCACCACGTGTGGTGGCTTCGTAGGCATGTCAACCGTACTCTGCTCTGATCATGTTTTGTGGTTCTGCGACCACAGAATATTCACTCTTTGTGGTAAATATCTTGTGTTCTTTGTTCAAACTTACAATAGTGTCTGAGTCTTTGCATAGGAAACACGTCGCTCGATTGCATTGCAACAGAACAGATCACATGACAACTCAATCCCGGATGTAAAAGTTGCTGTCACGGCATAATGCTTGACTGTGCGACTGAGGGGCATCCTGATGGGGGTTTCATTAAAGTGGCCAATTCCAGACCGAATGAGCCCGGAATATCTGAGCCGAGTACCATAATAAGTAGGGGTCAGTGTAGATGAGAAAGTCCCTTCGTATGATCATGGCTTCTGTTCCAAAATATGTAACCTGAAAGGGTGAAGTATCTCCTGCTCCAGTTATTATCGTGGCAGGCACAGTAAGGCTGGGAAACTCTATTTGTGCCGAATTATCCGAGGCTCGTATTTCGACCTACATCATCCTTCCAACCTTCTCAGCGCAACTAGCAATGGAGGGGACGCTCAGCAACGGCACTTCGATGCTGTAATCCAACATCATCAGTCATCTAGTGCAGTGCGGATCACAAACCATGAAAATTGTCATCGTGGGCGGTGGCATCTCAGGGCTGACGGCGTACCTGGCCCTGCAGAAGCACCTCCCCAAGCCCGCACCGCCGGCCCCCGACCACGAATACACAATCTACGAGCCCTACAACACCTCTCCAGCGACCACGTCTCACGAGCGAGCGCAGGTTGCCACACACTCTTCGACCCTGACCGTGGGGGGTGGGCTCGGTGTCGGCCCCAACGGGCTCCACGTGCTCCACCGGCTGGACGCCGATCTGCTGCGCGACGTCGTGAGCAGTGGATACATGATCGACCACAGTAATCTGAAAAGCAAGCACGGTCGTCTCCTCGTGAAGCTAGAATCATCGGGGACAGGTGGCCGTCCCCAGGGCCCAGACCAACGGCTGCGTATGCACATGCTCGCAATCAGCCGCCATGCGCTCTGGAGCCGTCTACGTCGCGCGTTACCAGACACGGTGATCGTCAACAAACGTGTTTCGCAGGTTATCGCCGTCGCGGAAGGGCCAAATCTCGTCAGCTTCGACGACGGCAGTCCTCCCGTGCAGGCGGACCTGGTGATCGGGGCTGACGGGCTGAAAAGCACGGTTAAGCATGCGCTATTTGCCGAGGCGGAGGCGGATCCATATCCCCCGCATTACGAGTAGGCCTTTCCTTCTGCCTACATGCTCATGGTCAATTCTGGAATTACTGACGCGGTATATGGAAGCAGAGGCCTCGTGGGCGTTGGGGGCTTCATCCCAGCAGACAGCGTCAACCACCTCGTCGAGACGGGGTCAATGAACTTCATCTTCGGCGGGAACGGCTTCTTCGGCTACTTCTACGCGGAAAGTGCGAGCTCGGACCGGAATCGTGCTTCGCCGTGTCATGTCTCGCAACCGGGGGATCTGTTGGCGTGGTGGTCGACGTACGCGATCGAGAAGAGTCCCCCCGACTCCAGAAGCATTGATACAGAAGATGTCACTCGACAGTTGCGGGAGCGCTACGCCCACTGGACGGATCCAGTGGTCCAGAGGATCGTTCGTGAGATCCGCGTGGAGAGTATGTGGCCGACCTGGACCTCGCCGCAGCTGCCGACCTGGGAGCGGGACGGGATCGTGCTGATCGGCGATGCCGCACATTCGCTGCCCCCGACGTCGGGGCAGGGGTCGTCGCAGGCTTTGGAGGATGTCGAGGCTTTGGTTATGTTCCTTTCGCATCAGATGCGGCGGGTGTATGCTGAGGAGAGCCAGCCCTTTAGTGTCAGGGTGGAGAAGGAAGCCATCAAGGTTGCTGCGAAACAGTATGAGGCGATGAGACGGCCGAGGGTGGAAGCTATCCTCGCGAGGGCGAAGAATATGCAGGACCGGAAGCGCGATATGGGGTTTGTGCAGGAGTATGTGATGTATGCGTTTATGTGGCTCATGGGTGAGTGCTCTATCGTGATTCCTAGAATTGCAGGAACGGGAGGAACATGATGCTGACGTTGATGATGATGGCGGGAATAGGTTGCTTTCCAAGTGTCTTCAGGGAGCAGCAAGAGGCGTTGTTCGAGTATGATTTGCCGGGTGATGTGGAGAGGGTTCTAGCGAGGGATGTGTGAATGGGAGCTGGAGGGGGAATACTTTGGGGAAACAGCCGCCCTATATGCGCTATGACGGTCGCTTGCGAGCTGCCATCGTTTATTTGTGCCGGAGTAACACGCTCTTTACTCAATGCCGTGTCTTGTGCAGATTCCAGGCGTATTGGGGCTCAAAAAGTAAGAAGTGGAACCTGGCATACGCGGGTAAAATGCAAAAACAAATGACCTACGCAGGGCTCGAACCTGCAATCTCTTGATTCGTAGTCAAGCGCCTTACCATTGGGCCAGCAGGCCTTGCTGTTGATGGAAGCACCTTTTATTTGCAACATGACCCAGAATGTGATGACATCATCTGCGAGACCTCTGTTGGAGTCCTAATCTGGTTAGGACTCGTGTGGTAGCCATCATCAACACTGCAATTTCTTTGTTTGATTGGAACCTTATCACTCCCCACTCTTCCATGTACTGAGTACTGTACAATTCACCTGAGGCTTCTTGTACTCTGTCAATGTATCTTTCTTAATTTTGCCATATTGATAAACAAATGAGACGATCTTCTCACGGTCAACTTTTGCCAGATATCTGGCCAAACACATATACCCAGCAAAGTGGTTTCCTGCATGAAACGTAATCCACCTCAACCGTACATAGCGACTGAAACACTAAGACATCTCGATCAGAATTGTAAAACCAACCCAAGCAAAGTGTCGGAGGCATAGAATCAAACATGGAACACATTAGACCTCCCAGGTAGCATCCCTTGCTAAATATAAAAAGGCCCGACAAAGTTTTCTACAAGCGAGTCAAAAGCATTGCCCCTTACCTCGAGTGCGGTCACAACAAAGTACCAGCCAAGTATCTGGATAAGTATCACTTAGGCAGCGGTGGTCAGCTTCGATCTCCCAGTCAATGCGGGGTAGCCACGGCTCCGCGCAGAAGTCATCATGCAACAACACCAGCCCAAATTGCATCCGTGACTGGCCACTGCAGAAAGCGGGGTAAAGCACAAATGCCAAAGAGACAGGCCTACTCCAGCAAATCATTCACTCGTGTTTTGATTACTAGCCCTCCTTCCTCTCCCCACGGGCCACCCTCCATCACAGGATTCTCATTCTAGGTTACGACAGGAGTAGACTAGGAGCGAAAAGGGAGCGAAGGCAAAAAGCCTTAGCTGCCGAAACAGAAAATCTGGGGTAGTGGCCCACTTCCCTCCGACGCCGGTGAACATTAGCTATGGCTTGTTTCTTCTAGGTCTGGATTCAGGGGCTAAGGCGCGTGGTGGATGTGGTGCCTTGGGGGACTTTCCATACATTGTTTGGACTTCATATTTAGAAAGGGACGATCCTATTGTCAAGGTTATGGAATGGTAGACGAGCCATGATCAGACCACCGTCACCTACAATCAGTGACTATGGCATGAGCAGCCACTGACGCAGACCGGTGCGATCCAATGAATGAGTTGGGTTTGGAGTATATTACTGTCCTGTGCGTCTGTTCGGTGTGCTGAGTGAGCCCTTGACCTATATTGCCTGCTTGCGACGCCTATCCCTGTCGCGCGTACTGCGAGGACATTGGCTGGATACCACCCAACCGAAGTAACAAAAGGGACATGGATTCTGAAGTCTACCGGGGGGGGGAGGTCAAGTTGCAGTCCACGCTGACCCTGCCTCGACCCTCCCTGGGGCTGGCTGGCGGTCTCATCGAGCAGTACCCCTCTTCTGCGACATTTATCTTTGTGAATTTGACTCATAGGATTTATGATGCTAATAAGATACTAGGCGGTAGTAGTAGCTAAGTACACCTGAAGTACTGTGTTCCGTCCCTCGACCAAAATAAACAAAACCCTCGTAAACGCCGGTAGGTCATCACCTGGAAGATCCCGTCCTCGAAAGCCCCTCCTTGATAAATCGAATGATTGGTTTGAAAGAAAATGTGACTGGTGTCATCGAAAGTACGGAGTCTGACTGTCTCAGACAGCTAGACTCGGTCTGCTGAACCCCTTCCCTTCCCCGCGAAAGTCGCGTGAGGCAAACAAAAAAAGGTCTACTTTAAGTGTCGCATGTAGCGTAGGGTAAGATAGACGGCGCCCATGGTTGTATAGGCCGCACCGCCCGCGGCAATCCAGACCGGTCGGTGGACGCTAAAGGAAGTCTGAACGAGCTGGTATCTTGTTCTTCGCTTCTCTGGATGAATGGGTTAGATACCTTGGCTTGTCGCGCCTTTGCTTTGATGAGATTGCTGTTGCGGTGTCCTACCTGTGTTGAGGAAGCGGTTGCGCAGAGTCGCCAGCTGCTGTCGGGAGTATGCACCAAGGGTGGATCCAGCGGACGAGAGTCCCTGGATGATCTGAGGGGTTGACATCTTCTGAAGGTGGAAGTTTAAATGTGTAGTTCGATGAATCTGGGGATGAAAGGGAGAAAGAGCTGCGAGTTGTAGGAAAGAAAGTCAAGGCCACCAGCTCTTTCAACCGTGTTGTGTTGACAGAGGTGCTGGGTGACACAAGGTTTATATGTCCTTCGTCTCGTCGCCAGAAACGCGGGGTAGTCACGAGAGGGTGTGCGATGCAGCACAAACAGCTGGGCACAAAAACCACTGCACCGCCCTTTATCCCTGCTCTGCGATGATCTGGATGATTGGGTGGATGGGTGGTTATTGGTTGGCATTGATGGTCCGGGTCGACGCTGGCGCTGATGTCGCCCCTGGAACCGACCGCCGGTTGAGCTCCCCTCTTCCCGTACGAGTGACAAGTAACCCTACTGTGCGACCAGATGGCCCCCAGGCACTGTGTCCACAAAGTGTTTGGATGGACTGATTGATGCTGGGGTGGCGTTGTCGTTTCCAAGGGTATCTCAGGCCGAGTTGGGGAGCCGCTGATTCGTAGACCTTCTTGCTCCCACGGCGATGATCAGTCTACTTATGCATAAGAGGGCTATAGAAGGGCGGGACGAGTAGGCGTGATATTGAGAGAGGGGTTGAGACATGAAGCGTGCCAGATTGTCTCGGTGAATAGAAATATCGTGATGCATGATAGTTGTATACTGTCTTGGTAGCAACCGGAATATGAATGTTTTTTGTCTCATCTACTATGTTCATCAGGGCCGTAATACCACAAGCTACTAAGCTGCTTTCTAATATTCATCATCCATCTATAATTCATGAAAACATGGATGAGAAAGTAGACGCAGCGTGGCAAGACTGATCGAAGTAAACCGGGCTTGGTGTACTGTACTCCATGCAACACGTAGTCTCATTGCAGGAAAAGCAGGACATGCTGATCTTAGCTCCGAAGCATGACCCCGCTGGTAGTGATGAGCTCACTGAGGCTCGCTCAAGCTAGTGATCTCTTGCCCTTCCCTCATTTCGTCACTCATAAGGTGAATATCACCGCTACTTGTATGTATACCTTAGGTGTCGCTCTTCCCGGAACGCGCTATCTTGTCGCTGAAGTTGCTTTCATGCCTCATGTTCTCAACCCAAGCCAATGCGATGACCCGGTATATGGCACTTTTCTATGTTTTGTTTTGAACAGCCCCGAAGCTGGAATATGGTCTGTCGAAACAGGGGTATAGAGTCAAGTCGTCGTGGCAGAGTCCCCGGGAGCCATGATGATGTATTGTCGCTTAAATTCCTCTTTATTATGACTAAAGACCTAAGCTTCAGGGATAAAATATGGTCTCAGGTAAAGTCTCCAAGGACTTGATTAACTAGGATGCAGGGTTGAGATGGATGCCACCGGTCTATGCATTGTGGAAGAATCCCTTGGCAGCCATTGATTTTATGCACCCACTGCAATGCAGCTTACTCAGCGGATGTCTAGCTATGTAGTACGGTGGGCTACTCGTGCCAATTTGCAATAACCCAATTCTGCCGACAGTACTATTTTAGCCTTCCAAGCTGCCTAGTTTAAACAAAATCACACAACTATAAGTTACATTAGGATTATTAGGGTTATTAGGATCTTAGGATATTTCAGGCCGAAGGTATTGGTATATTAGGGTTCTTTATCAGGGAATCTTGTATATAATTTTGATGTTAGAGACAGTTGGAGAAAAAGGCGGTCTGCTGGAGAAAAAGGCGGTCTGTTAAGCGGTAAAGCAATAATACTATAAGTTTACTATAAAAAATAGGGTTATTGCAAATTGGCACGAGTAGCTTGCCGTACTATGAGGACTACGGTGGGCCGTGCCAACCACTTCTTTGCCGGAACTACCTTCCGTAGGCATTTCGAGGTCTCTTAATCAGGGATAGTAGATAGAGGATCGGATGAATCTGTCATCGACCTCCCTTTCCCGGTTTAGCTCTTGGTAGCGCTAGCGCTTGCGCTTGATGACTCTATGATGCTAGCTCAATTCTCCCGAGCGAGCCCCTCTACCAGGACGACGTATCATCACACCCGGTACGCCAACCGGGTCGGTGTTGCGGCTGTTCCGATTCAACCCACCTTGACGCCGAAACATAAACCCAAGCGTTCCTACCCGAGCGATGTTATCGATCGCCTCTATTTACATACACGCTTGACGAATTGCAGGGCGGACAAATCATGTCTCAATCTCTCTTCATCGCTCAGACAACCGACCCGGTATTAGATTTGCGTGACTTGAGTCTGTTATCTCAACACACATCACGTCCTCGAACCTCCCTCTCCGAGCAGCAAGAGTCAATCGACAGTACCCAAGATGTGCAAGCCACTACACTGTCGCGAAGTAGAATGGTGATTCTCATCACGACCCTCACTGGCATCACGTTCGTCGGAAGCATGAGCAGCGGTCTTTCGACTATCGGACTACCTGTGATAGCAGCCGATTTGAAACTACCAGATAACCTATTGATGTGGTAAGAATCCATACTCCTATACGTGGCAAGTTGAACTCTGTTGTCTGATGAGAGCATATATGATCTACTAGGCCGGTATCGGTATACCAGTAAGTGGCCCGTCTCGGCTGTAGGTAATATATCGCTAAGCGCGCAGCAGTCTTGCAAACGGATGCTGCCTGCTTCTGGCAGGGTCTATGGCAGACCTTATGGGCAACCGGATGATCAATCTACTGGGCTGTCTTCTTCTCGCCTCTTTTATTCTAGGATGCGGGGTAGCAGAATCTGGTATCCAGCTGATCCTATTTCGGACCTTCCAAGGCATAGCAACTTCAATGTGTCTTCCCACAGCTTTTAGCATCTTGACACAGACCTTACCAATGGGCAAGCCAAGGAACATCGGCTTCGCTTGCCTAGGTCTGGGACAGCCTCTGGGATTTGCGGTCGGGCTTGTGTTTGGGGGTCTTTTCCAAGGATCGTCGCTGGGTTGGAGATTCGGTTTCTATCTTTGCGCCGGCGTTACCGGGACTCTCATGGTTATCAATTACTTCAAACTTCCACATGATGCCGCCCGCGAACCCATCACCTTGCGCAGGCTCAGAGCAGAGATCGACTGGATTGGCATAGTTCTTTCAAGCTCTTGCTTAGGAATTATCTCCTACGTGTTTGCGTATGTACTATACACATCTAGCACGCTTGACGGCGGGCGGAGCCTGCTAACAATGGTCACAGTACTATCTCTGACGATCCATCGAATTTCCACAAGGCTCAGAATATCGCCCTGCCTTGCTGCGCGGGGGCCATGATCCCTGGCTTTTGGGTCTGGATGGGCAGGCGCGAACGGGCGGGAAAGCCCGCTCTGATCCCAAACTCTCTGTGGAAGAATACGGCATTCTCGTCCATGTGTGTCATTGTCCTTTTCTCCTGGGCGGTGCTGAACGGCGTGGAAACCATTCTCAGTCTCTTGTAAGTTGATCCCGGACGACGACAGCCCCGTCTGCACAATGGGAAGAATCATCTCTAAACACCATCCCGCAGCTTCCAGGAAGTTCAAGAGCTATCGGGCTTTCAGTCCGCTCTCCGCTTCTTGCCAAATGTCGTCATTGGCGTTCTCCTAAACCTGGGAACAGGTCTCTTAGTTCATCGTGTGCATGCGAATCACCTGGTGCTTGTAAGCTCGCTGCTCAGCGCCGGGTCTCCCTTGCTCATGGCTATCATTGACCCTCAATGGTCTTGGTGGTATTGTGCTTTCTGGGCGGTTCTGCTCAGCCCCCTTTCAGCCGATGGTAAGCCACCAAAGTCGCTCCTTGCCTCTCTACTCCCACAAATATAAACCCAAATATGAGACCAAGTTTCTGATCCCGGCCCCTTGGTACATCTACAAAGTGATCTTCACCATCGCCAATCTGATAGTCGCGGAAGCTTTTACCCCCCAGACGCGCGGCCTGGCGGGTGCCGTCTTCAACACGATCGCGGAGTTCGGAACCTCGCTGGGACTCACCATCTTCGCCATCATCTCCGCGGGCGTCACCCGGGATTCCTCGATCGCAGACAAGCAGTCCCCCGAGGCACTCATGGTTGGCTACCGCGCCGTCTTCTGGACGTGCTTTGGGCTTATGCTGGGGGCTTGTGGTGTTGGATTGTGGGGGTTGCGGAATGTCGGTCGGATCGGGTTGAAGAGGGAGTGATCGCTAAATCCCAGGGCTCTAAAATTGCCATGTCTTGGTTGTGACGGAGGCCCAGAGCTGACGGACGCTGGAACATCGGTTGTCTTTCCTTATCAGGAGATAAGAAAAGAACGAATATCCATGCTGAGCATGGTGGTTGAAATCTTGAAAGGCTTGCTTCTTTTTGCGGGCTATGAGGAGGCAATGGAAAATGTAGCACATGAAGGTACGTTAGAAGAGTCTGAAGAATGTCAAATACAAGGACAAAGGAGATAAGTAAGGCGATAGTAGAATGGAAGTAACAGTCCATCTATGCACTAGACATGAATGAGGATATTTGAGCCAGGATGATGCTACGGAGAGGTAATAAGATTTCATAAGGTGAAAGAACCTATTGCTTAGAATGTGACTTAGTGAATAGTTACAGTCTCTTAAGGCTGTGGATAAATACTGATTCCTAATCGATATCAATCATGCCCATTGCCTTCTCCCTATATCGCATAGACCTTAGATGATTCACTCACACAAGAGACAGTCTCCTTCAACCTCTCTAAATGACACAATACACAAGATGTATTGCACCCATTGCCCACACCACCACACATGAAGCATCGCCCCCTCCTCCCCAACAAATCTGCCGAAAGGAATCATCAAAAACAGATTGTCCCTGAAATTTGGCATCGACCGCTTTCGCTTACGGTCCTCGATACTAGGTAATTCGCCCCTATTAGAAGCTATTGACTCCACCCGAGGCACAGTGGACAAAAGACAGCAGCGGACCACAGTACGCACTGGAGTCAAAATTCGCCGCCTTGCCCAGTTTCAGGTAGCCTTCATAGCTGCCGCCATGGTCCAGAGACAGACACTGCGTGCCGCACACATTATCCTTATCCACCGTGGTCAGGTAATGGTAGAGAGCACCGTGGATCGTCTCCTGCTGGGCGGTTGTATCACAGTTGCGGCCCGTCGCGTAGTACTCGTACGACCAGCCGTCAATGGTGCCGCTGCTCGTGGCGCAGCTTTTCTCGTGGCTCTGGGCCCAGATGAGCCCCGCGATGGCAGACGAGATGGCGTATGCGTAGCTGCCGACTGTGGCGCAGGCCGCCACCGTGGAGATCTTCTCGCAGACCGTCATGGGGGTTCGAGCTACTAGCGACGACGTGGTGCTGCTCACATCGGAGGCCATTGCCTCGCGAGACGTGAGGTTGAATACTGTTTCGCTGTCGTCGAGATGTAGACGATACCACGAATCAGGCAGCGGTTGGCCGTTGATGAGCTGGCCATCGGTAGCAGAAGAGAGGGACGAGGGTTGAGATACCGTGACACCATAGAATGTGTTTAACGTCAGGATCGACGCCGTGAGAAACCGCATAGTACCAGCAGAGGGAGGAGATCAGGATTGCAGATATAGAGAGGCGAGACACGAAGGCGACGAGATCCATGATTTTTTCTTCTTGTCCTGGATGAGGGCTTAGATCTGAACCAAGGATTGATTGAGCCACGGATGAAGGTAATGGTGTCCTTTATATACTATTTATTTTGGCTTGGAGCTCGGCCGTATGATGTTGGTGACTTGAGGCTTCGGCCGACAACAGTGGTGTGTAGGAGAGTCGCTTGTATGGAAAAGGCTTAGATATGTCTCAACTTCAGTTATCTAGCGTCTTGATAGCTCGCTTTGATGTGGCGTCTCTCACAGTTTAGCTCCATACCAGCGAAGGACTAGAATCATAGGCTCCATATCTCCTGCGGTAGGATCGGGGGCAGTCTTTGGTCTTCTCCACTGTGCCTGGCTGGCATGAGCAACAACTCCGACAGCAGCGGTGGAAGCTCATCATCTTGTTCTCCTGGTTTCAATTCGTTTACCAGAATGTAGGGACCTGAGTCTGCCACAACTGAAACGCTAGCAGAGTCTCAATTCACCAGCTCAACAATATTGTAGTAGGAACTCGCCAGATTCCGAGTCTTTAGATTTGCTGGTGCCTAAAGCTAGCTTACAGCCGGCGCGAGGTTTCTGAGACATGTGGGTATACACTACCTCGATTGCTGAGACCGCATCGCAGCATTGCCTCGGAACCACCCTCCACTAAAAGACGGCGCCACAAGGCTTATTCTGCCAAGTCACCCATCGGCTAGGATTCCGACAGCGAGGCCCTCTTGTCGCAATCACTTGAGAAATACCAGAATTGATTGGCTGAGACTAATTTCTTCTACACCCTGGGCAGACCCTTACCGAGTGTCTAGCGCTACACTTCTGTCCAGGGACTTACACCCGAGATTGCACGCAACCTACTCCTATATTGTCATCGTGTGATAATATCCCGAAGGCAAGCAACCAATTTGGCATCTGGGAAAATAGATTCGGCCTGGCTATTCAATACATGGGACGCTTGGTCTACAGTAGCCAAACCGCACCTTTTGCTTTGATCAGACACCCCATTGAATGAAATTTGAGGGAACAAAAATCCTTCATTAGGCTGGAAAGCAGCTGGAGTCACCACATCTTCAGATTGGCTTGAGGAAGTCCCACTTGGTGCAATGCTTTCTTACTATCCAGTCGTCGCTTCGTCGCCCCACACCCTCGCAATCATAAAATCGCGCAAATTTGGGTCATCACTGGGGCTTAGCATCTTCGCTGTTTTGCCCTGGACAAAGGATCTCCGGCAGTACTGAGATTCGACTCCGGGCTTCTGCAGAGGGCTGCTGGTGCTGTAATATAACTGTTGCGGAATATCAGTAGGAATGGCTTGAAGAGGGAGTAATAAATTGGGGTCGGGTCCTGAAGTGTGCCGCGTGTTGGTTGTGATGAAGGCTCAGAGGCTTCGTTAGTCCGGCGCAGGAGCGAATCAAGGTGCTTTAAAGGTATGAGCCATGTCTAATACTGGGATGAAGGAAGCAAAGAGGCAATTGTGGACTAGAAATATGAGTTACTCCATCGAAATTGGATCGGGTACAAAGCGAGGGATGGAGGTAAAGAAGTCCGATGGGGTGTTAAAACGAAACTGTTCGTAAAACCAAACTGTTCTTTAAGATGGGACTAGTGAAATAGTGGGATGAGGACATAATTGGCCTGCACTGTGTGATACTGTTTTGAGATCAAGTTCCAGACCAGGCAATATAAGCATCCCCACATATCTCATGTCACTAGACTTGTACACGGAAGCAGAAAGAGTTGGACTTCAGCGATGCCTCTTTCTTCACTGCAAACCCGGAAGGGCGCCTGCCTACAACAGCTGAGGTGAGAGCCTTGTCCATGGACGTCGATATAGCTCCCAAGCCCGTTCCTGTAAAACACGAGGACCTCGGCTTGATTGTTAAATTTGCCCCCCATACCACAATCACTGAGGCACTGAATCTTTGGATGATCGAAAAAGTATTTGGTGACGACATACCCGCTCCTGAGGTCTTTGGCTGGCGTGTCGATGACAGAGGGTATGTTTGCATATACATGGAGCTGATCAAGGGGTCTGTCCTCGGGGATTGTTGGGATCAGCTTAGTGTGGTAGAGAAAGGTGCCATGAAAGATCAGCTATCTAATATCATGGAAAGACTACGCAGCCTTGCGCAAGATCCATCGGACAGATTTATCGGTATTATTGAAGGCGCTACATGAATCGTCACAATGGAACGACTCATATCTTTTTAGGATCGATTGATCACGGACATTTGTTGGACTACGTGTTTATTGATCAACCGAAAACTGGCCCCTTCCCAAGCATCAAAAGCTTCAATGACTGGTTCGCTCTTTTACACCAACTACGGTTTAAGCACCGATACGACGACCCCAACCGATGCTTGCTGCCAGATGACGGGGAGATCAAGCTGACACATTGTGACTTGAACCGGCATAACATGATTGTCGTATCTACTAGTCCTGCTCGGCTTGTCCTCATAGACTGGGAGCAGGCGGGTTGGTACCCAGATTACTGGGAATATTGCAAGGCCATGTATACCTGCTTCATGGGAACTGAGTGGCACACCGACTATATTGATAAATTCTTGCAGCCTCGAACGGACGTGTACGATGTGTTTTCTGAGTACACAATGGCTATGGGGGCGGTTTGACTTGCACCAGAAAGATCACTATAAAACCATAGCATAGAAACCCGCGCCGCTTCCGATAGCCGAAGTGAAATAAATGTCACAGTTATATTCATCTCTCTTATAAAGTAACTCATGATTCTCACTTATATAATCTGTATTATTTCCGACTAGGAGGGGTGCTCTATTTGTAAAAGATTCCTCGCGAATTGTTCCTTGCCCGTGTCTCGATGATCAACCGCGTACACCTGGAAAGCTAGACCTGGAGAGCCGAAAGCAATGACTGTCACAATCAACGCTTTCATTACAAGCAACGCCGTCAGCTTAGACAGCCCGCCGTAGTCCAATCCCAAGAGTAGGTGGGTAACCGCAGGTGGAGGGGCGCCGCAGCGACGAGTAGTATGAGCTGAGCTGGTCCCCGCACTGGTTGATGATAAGATAAGGATCACGTGCCCGCAGTCTTATCCGACCGACCGGCGGAAGAGCATGGAAAGGAAAATGTCCCCCAATACTTCTTTCTTCCTACGAATGCACGCAGCCCCACCGAGCATGGCGACCGCAGGCAATGGCCGAACACATACAAAGCAAACAGGTACTCCAGACTACGATGATCCACTCTTCTGGGATAATAAGTTCTCTAGTGGTCGCGATGTCGGCGAATGGTTGAACCCTGGCGAACCGCTCATCGACGCGGTCATGTCGCATCTTGACCGCCGCCCCGCGCTCGATGAGCCAGCACCCTCACCTCGTGCCTTGCACCTCGGACCCGGTATCTCCAAGCTGGGATCAAAACTCTGCGATGAGTTTGCAAAGCGTGGCTGGCCCGGAAGCCAAATACTGGTGAGTTATGAACGGCCTCTGCACGTATACAACCATGAACTTACGCGAAGCTGTCGCAACAGAACGTCGATTTCTCCTTCGAGGCCGTCCGCATCGGTCGCGAAACAGAAGCCACAAAGAAACAGTCGCAGGCGATGCACTGGATGCAAGTCGATCTACGGTCTTGGGACGACGTCTCCAGGACGATCCCGTACGGTCCCTTCGATGTGGTATTTGACAAGAGCACCAGCGATGCGATCGCGACGGCGGCGCCCTTGACATTCCCTTCTGCTTCCGGGGCATCGAACACATGTCCGACTATCCGGCAGATAGTGGAGGAATCTGCAGAGATAACATTGTCGCCGGTGGAGGTACTGGCTCTGCATCTGGCACCGTTGACGCAGAAAGGCGCCATCTGGGCCACGATATCCTACTCGACGATGCGCTATGATAATTTGCCTTACTTGGCTCGATACTGGCACTTGAATTCTCGAACTCCCCTGAGAGCCCCGAAAGGCGAGACCTCGTCCTTTGCTCATACGCCGGACGTCTTCCACTGGCTCTATATCCTGGAGCGGAAATGATATATTTTCATTCAACCTGGCATACCGATCCACTGCTACCATATTCAATCTCATCTCCTACTCAATTGTTCACCTTGGCTAGTTCTTCCTTCTCGGCATTGTCCAGCAAGCCCAAACTCTCTCTGCGGGTCGGAGCCTTCGGGTCAAAGAACGGCTTCTCCGCCAAGGACGTGACTCTAGTGCCGTGCCGTGGCTCAGTGCCCTCATAATCCCAGCTGGCGTTATGGATGGTAATCCTGCAGATCGTTAGTCTTGTCTTGATATACCAAATGTAGGGCGACTGACCGATTGTCCCAAAGAACACTCGTCCTAGGGCTCCACTTGAACCTCACTTGGATGTCAATGTTCTTCTCAAACACGTCACACAAGTAGCCCAGAATGAGATCGCTCTCGGCTTTATCAAGGCCCACGATACGGTCGGTCATTGCTCGATTCACCCAGAGCGCCTTCCAGCCAGTCGCAGGATGGACACGAACCAAGGGGTGTTCACGTTCAACATACTTTGGCCCCTGCTCCGGGTGTTTGCGATCTAGATAAGGGTGTGCAGATCGGTAGATCGCAGTTCGACCGTCAATGATCCTACGAAACGCAGGCGATAGCTTTTCGTACGCCGCGTAACCACTGGCCCACAGGGTGTCTCCTCCAATACTGGGGATAGTGTCGTTGTGTAGGTGGGTTACTCCCGCGGGCTGACGCTCGTGGACGAGATCTGTATGCCAGCGGGATGCACCTCCGGGGTTGCGGAAGTTTGCTGGGCGCTCTGTCGCTTGCAAAGCAGGCCAAATTACTGTCACGCCAGGAACGCCAGGCACTTGCGGCACTTGAGGCTTGAATACGCAGAGTGATATCAGCCGCCCACTCCGTAGCCATAGGATGCTCAGATGCTTACATGGACCTCAATCTCGCCAAACCACTCGCCCAGCTCCTTCTGTTGTTGGGGCGAGATGTCCTGATCCCGGAAAAAAACCACACTGCGCTCCGCGATCAGAAGGCCCAGCTCGTCTTTCTGCTGGTCGGTGAGGTCCTTTAGTTGTAGTCCTACTATCTCGGTTCCGATGTGCCTGGTGAGGTGGATCACCTCCTTGGCGGCGGACAGGAGTGCTTTCTTCTCGGGGTCCGCTCGACTACCCGGGTCCACATGTGGGCGGTCGTAGTCACGGATGCTGTAGACATCGTCCAGATACAAAGGACGCGATGGGCGATAAGGATAACCCTCCGAGAGATCGATCCCTGCTTTCTCCAGGCGTTCCTGGGTTGCCGGTGGGAGCGGGAGGGTTTGCTTCAACGGTTCCGCCACATCGACAATCCGGGGGTCAATCGGTGCTGGAGCCATGGGTACGAAATATGTTGATTGATTCAGCACTTATTTCCTGGGACCTAGCTTTGCGTCTTAGCCACAGCTGCTGCTTTTGATGTCTATTATTTATGTCTTTCAGTCGGACACCATCCCCAGACGCAACACCGTGCAATAGCCGGAGTGGGATCACATCATCGTTCCACGGCATTGCGCCTTTACATCCCACTCGTCCTATGAACTTGAACCCTTGGGATCTCTGCTCAGAAACCCCTCTTTTTCGTCCTCTTCCCCTCATTTGGGTCGGTCCTTATCTTTTCAAACCGGACCTTCCAACACGCACAGGTCTCCACTCGGCAGTTAGCTTAGGAATCACCATGCAGGGATACGATGGCCTCATCATACTGCATTTGTCATGTATCCTGTATCTTGATCCGGTTGGTCAATTCCACCATCGCGGACCGGAGATCTGACGTTCGAGCGATACTCGGACCCAGGATAATTTGGACCTTCGCTTCGGTCCAGTGAGTGGGACTATTACACCTTATGCGCCTGAGATAGCGTTAGCGATATGGGCCCACGAACCGTACTCTTAATGACATGGTATACGGCCATCGCTCGAGAGGGTGGTGAAATTTACGCAAACCTGGGCCTCTCGCTCTCGACAGCACCATGACCCGTCAGATCCAACACGTCGCCGTCATCGGAGCCGGCATCAGCGGCGTCACGTCCGCCGGCCATCTACTTGCTGCGGGCATCAATGTCACCGTCTTCGAGCGGAACCATGCCGCTGGTGGTGTGTGGTATGTCGTATCCGTCGTTCTTGTGAGCACAGAGTCGTGTTAACCAGAAGCATAGGCTCTACGATGAGCGGAAACCTCTTGAACCGAACTACCCGGCTATGAAGCCATCCATATCCGAGAGGCACAGGGAGGGCGAAAAGTCTGATGAAGACTCGCTGCCGCTGAAGCATGCTCCTCCTGGGTAGGCGTTGCCATTCGTGCTGTAGCCGTGTCGGTGCTGACGGTGGTAGGCCTTGCTATGTCGGTCTAAAGAACAATGTCGAAACGACGTTGATGCGCGTGAAGCTCAATGCCTGGCCAGAGGGTACGCCGGAGTTCGTCAGTCACTCAGTCATGAAGGAGTATATTCAGGACACATCTAGAAAGGCTGGAGCCGATGGAGTCACTATCTATGGCGCGCGCGTGACCAGCGTCAAAAAAGACGGGCATAAATGGCATGTCACCTGGTCGACTCTGCGAGAAGACGGAGAATCGAAGAGCTTGGAAGAACACGAGGAGACAGCTGTAGGACTTATGAAAGGGCGTGGAAGACTGTGATGCTGATGTATATTACTAGACATTCGATGCGGTCATCGTGGCTTCCGGTCACTACCATGCGCCCCGCGTACCGGATATTCCCGGGCTTTCGGACACGAAGACGAGATGGCCCACCCGGATCATTCATTCAAAAGGCTATCGAAAGCCTGACGCATACAAGGACAAGGTATGAATCTCGGTCCCTGAAAGTCGAGGCGAACAGAAGTAACCGTTGCACCAGAACGTTCTACTTATCGGAGGCGGAGTATCATCCACCGACGTAGCCAAAGAGATCGGCCCGTTCGCTAAGCGGGTCTACCAAAGCACGCGGAATGGCATATTCGATCTGCCATCCAGCATCCTTCCTGACAATGCGGCCAGAGTCGGCGAGGTGGAGCGCTTCGAGATCACCAACAAGAACGGAACAGTTTCCGACGACCAAGCGCTCCCGCTGAACATCCATCTCAAATCCGGCCAAAAGCTCTGCGAGATCGACGATGTGATCATATGCACCGGCTACCATATCACTTTGCCCTTCCTGCCGGAACTTCACGACGATGCGACACCAGCCGAGAAAGCGAATGAGACGATTCTTGTCACCGACGGAACGCAGGTGCACAACCTACACAAAGATATATTCTACATCCCGGATCCCACTCTCGCTTTCGTGGGCGTCCCCTACTATACAGCAACCTTCACCCTGTTCGAGTTCCAGGCAATCGTCGTCGCGAACGTGTTCGCGGGGATCGCTCAAGTTCCGTCAGAGGATGTCATGCGGGCGGAGTATGCCGAGAAGATCAGAATGAAAGGCAGTGGCAAGACCTTTCATTCGCTCAAGGATGTCGAGGAGGTATATGTGGACGATTTGATGGGCTGGATCAATAAGTATAGAGAGAAGCGCGGATTACCTGTTATTGACGGCCATACGGAGACCTGGCATGCAGCCAAGGCGATCCAGCGCGAACGAGTCAAGGGGTTAATTGGCGGAGGGAGCGCGAGACGAGATAGTGGCGTTGGCGAGCAGTGGATTTCCTGTCATTAGGCTGGAACCTTAGATATTGGGGGAAATAGAGCATACAGCCTAGCGCATACAGCCGAAGTAGGGTCTACGCCGGGACCAACTGTTGGTCAAGGCACATCATCTGCATCGTCGATGACGAGCTTCCACCATGCAATGACAACCAGTGATCCTTGTTTTCCCCTCACGCTTTAGACCTCCCGCATGATCATCAGGAAGCACGAATTTCTTATCTCCGAGATACCTGAGCGCTTACAGGCTGACATTCTCATGCACGAATGGCGTAAGTGCGGTAAGTAATGATGATTCGGGAGTGGTGTATTGTCTCAGCTCCGAGATCGTTGCGAGAGGGGTAGAGCTCTGCTGGATGAGGTTGTACAGTCAGTCACGTTCAACCGAAGAAGAATAGGCCATACGTTCTCTTCGCAGTAGTCAATGACTTCATAAGGATGAAGTGTCATATCATGCAAGAGGCGTCCATACCTCTTATTTCTTTCGAAGCTCGCGGCTAGGGATACTCAGACCAAGACGACAGCTGCAATGGCTCCCTCACCAGCTGTAGTAGACGAGAGCGCTGTCTCCTCATCTGAACCCATTGTCCAAAAAGCACCCAAGCGCAAATGGGTCAGTTACATCTGGGATACCTTCGACAAGTCGCCCGAGGAGCGTCGACTTCTCTTCAAGCTTGACACGGCGATATTGACTTTTGCATCTCTCGGTGGGCTTCCCAGGACATATCCAACATTACTTATGATTCTAATCGACCCTGTCAATTTCCAGGATACTTCATCAAATACCTCGACCAAGTGAACATCAACAATGCCTTCGTCTCCGGGATGTTCGTACACAACCCAAAACATCCACACCCCGTTCTCCGACCCGACTAACTCCCACCAGGAAAGAAGACCTCGGGCTATATGGCAACCAACTCAACTATATGCAAGCCTGCTGGACCGTCGGCTATGTAATTGGCGAGATCCCGAGTAACATGCTTCTCACACGGGTGCGCCCTCGCTACTGGATCCCCGCCATGGAGGTTTGCCCTGCCATACCCCTCATTCATCAACCATCCCAGCTCTAACAACACGCCAGCTCCTCTGGACAATCCTAACCTTCACCCTCTCCCGGGCCAAAACCCCAACGCACTTCTATGTCCTGCGCTTCTTCATCGGTACGCCCCCCCCCCCTCCCGGCGCAACCCAGCTAACCCCAACGGAATGGCAAAAAGGCCTAGCCGAAAGCTCCTTCTACCCAGGGATGCAATACATAATCGGCTGCTGGTACCGCAAGGACGAGCTCGCGAAGCGATCCTGCATCTTCCACACGAGCAGCGGGATCGGGAGTATGTTTTCGGGATACCTGATGGCCGGGGTGTATCGGCTGGGCGGGAGGGGTGGGTTTAAGGGGTGGCAGTGGTATATCCCCAAGTACCCATCCTCATCACGCTGAAAAGAGGTTGAAAAGTATGAACTCACGAGGGAAACAGGCTATTCCTCGTCGACGGGATCATCTCCCTCCCCGTCGCGCTGAGCGGGTTTTTCGTCCTGCCGGACGTGCCGGAGATTTCGGAGCCGTGGTATTTGTCTCGCGAGGTGAGTCGCTCTCTCAGTCCTGGGTACGACACTGTGTATGATGGACCTGATAACGAATGCTACTGGGGTAGGAGGTGAAGCTCGCGCAGAAACGGATGCAGCTCGAGGGCCGCCAGAACCGGCAGCCTTGTACAAAAGCCAAGCTGAAGAAGATCTTTGGCTCGTGGCATATATACATGCTGACTTTGGTTTACATGTGCGTTCCCCTCTACTTCCGTCGATTGGTACTGAATGGGGGGATAGCTGATGTGCTAATCCGATGACAGCACGTTCAACAACGGGGCAGCGGGCGCGCAGCCTGTCTTCCAGCAGTACGTATCCCCACCCTCCGCCTATCTCTTTCCTCCACGCAGCGTGGCGAAAGACAGTCCTGATAGGAGATAGATTCCTCAAAGCCTCCACGCACCCCAAGTACACGATCGACCAGATCAACGCCTACCCGACGCTCACCTCGGCAGTGCAGGTGGTCACAACCCTCATCTACGCGTGTAGGTCCACCAATCCACCACTCTGGACACAGAACAAAGATCATACTGAGAAAAGCGCAGGGACATCCGATACCATCCTCCGAGGCAAACGCTGGCCGTGGATCATCTTCGGCGGAGTATGACCCCCACCCCTACCCCACCCCACATCCAAGCAAAAGCTAACCACCCCCCCGCAAGTGCATAAACATAACCTGCTACATCTCCCTCGCGATCTGGGACATCCCGGTGGGCTGGAAATGGACCTGCTACATCCTGTCCGGCGCGGGGTTCGGGCTGAGCGGGTTATGCATGGCGTACGTTCTTCGCCTTCGCCCCCTGTCCCTTTCTTCTGCCTTGCCCTAAACCCCCTCTCCCATTCCCTTGTTCGGGTTCATCTTGAGTGTTTTGACGGGCATCGGATAAGACAAGCTGACGAAAGACACAGCTGGGCCCATGAGGTCTGCACGGCCGACAACGAGGAGCGCGCCCTCGTGGTCGGGAGCATGAACGAGATGGCCTACGTGTTCCAGGCGTGGCTGCCGCTCGTCGTGTGGCAGCAGGTCGATGCGCCGCGGTACCGGAGCGGGTTTGTGGCGGCCACGGTTATTTCGGGGCTGTTGATTGTGGCGACGGTCGCCACGGCGTGGTTGCAGGGGTGGGAGGAGAGGTGAGTTTCCTCTTTTGGCATGGGATGAGGAGGGTGGAGTGGGGTGGGTAGGGGTTGATGCTGATTTTGCTGTCGGTAGGGCGAAACATGTGGTTGGGAGTCTGGAGGGGGAGGAGGGGAGTAGGGCTCGTTTGGGGTTCGGGACGGGGGATGGGTCTTTGGATGGGGAGGGGCGTGGGAATATGGGTGAGGAGGTCGAGCGGGAGGGGCTTGTTGTGAAGGATTAGGGGAGAGGTACTATCTGGGGTAATCGGGGTTGGCTTGGGGATGTTGTTGGGAGTGGGTGGGCTACGCTGGTGGAGAAGGATCGGTTGAACTCGTGTATTCCAATAAGTTTGCATGGGATGCCGGATAGGCTCAACATGATATTAAGTACAGCTAGAGTATTAATGCAAGGGTCAAGCATTTCAATCAAATGGCAGAATAATCTGATTCAAGCTGCCTAAGTGTTCTACTGTACATAAATCTCCACCGAGACAGTTCCCTGACCTCAAATCGCATGCGCAGACCACGGTTCGTACTCAACGAAACTTCCACCACATGCCTTCTTGATTGCTCGAAGAGCATTGCTTATAGGGCGAGTCACAGCCTACACATCAAACAGTCAAAGAAGGGTACATCCAGCCCGAGCAACAGATTCTTGCAGCACAAGTCTAGAAAGAGCCAGAAGCACCGGTGGGGGCAGCGCCGGAAGGAGCGCCCGAGGGCTCAGCCCCGGCACCACTGAAGGAGCCAGAAGGAGACGGGCCCTGGCCACCGAAAGAACCGGAGGGCGAGGGACCTTGCCCACCAACAGAGCCGGAAGGAGAAGCGCCACCGGGGAAACCGGACGGGGAGGCACCCTGACCCCCGAAGCCAGAAGAGCCACCGCTAGCAAAGCCAGAGGGAGAAGCGCCCTGGCCGCCGAAGGAGCCGGAGGGGAAAGAGCCACCAACGGTGCCAGAGGGAGAGGGGCCTTCGGAAGAGCTGCCGCTGGAGCCGGAAGAGCCACCCTCGTGGCCCTGTCCGCCATGTCCGCCCTCGTGGGAGGATCCCTCGGAGGAGGAACCCTGGTTCTGCTCGAACTGGCGGCGCTCGACCTTCTGCTCGGACTCAGAGGAAGCGTTGTCTGAGGACTGGCCTTGCTTGTGGCCGCTGTGGCCGCCGTGGTGGCCGTGCGAGCCGTGACCCTGCTGAGGGGAGCCGGAGGGGGAAGCACCCTCGGGGAAACCAGAGGGAGAGGCACCGCCGGGGAAGCCAGAGGGAGAAGCACCGCCGGGGAATCCAGAGGGAGAAGCACCACGGGGGAAGCCAGATGGAGAAGCGCCACCCTGACCACCAAAGCCGCCAGATGGAGAGGGGCCGTTAGGAAATCCGGGGGGAACAGTGCCTCCAAACGAGCCGGAGGGAGAAGCGCCCCCGAAGCCACCAGAAGGAGCAGCGGTGGGAGCAGAGCCACCTTCGGTGAAGGAGGCCGGGATCTCGACCTGACGCTTCTGGTGGTCCTCAGGACCCCCGGAAGGAGCAGCACCGGAGAAAGTCACAGAGGGGAATGCCTGACCGCCAGCGGGAGCGTCTCCAGAACCACCGTGTCCACCATGTTGATCGAAGCCACCAGGGCCACCGGAGGGAGCAGGTCCAGCAGAGCCAGACGGCGGAGGGTTCTGAAAGGCCGCAGTGCCGGTGGGCTGAACACCAGTTTGTGTGGGAGCCTGTTCGCCGAAGACGGGCAGGGCGGAGGTGTAGCCCAGGATACAGGCAATGGCGAATGCGGAGAGCTTCATATTGTAGATTGGGTGTATGGGTGGGAGGGCAAAGTGAAGGACGATTAAAAAGTAAGAAAGTAGAAGGAATGTAGATTTGAAGATCTTGTCGTTGGAAAGGACAGGTAATGGGCGTTCAGATCAACTGAGCTGCTTGATTTCCAAACGTGAACTGGATGGATTGAGGTGAGGTTTTATAGTACGACGTCTTCATACCGATGCCCTCTTTGATACATGCGTACATGCTGATCACGATACTCGTCATGTTCGTGAGCCGCCGACTTCGGGTGGCAGAATTCTGAGACGTCGACTGTTCGCGATAAATCATCAGGCTATTCTGGACCCAGAGACCCCGAGGGTGGATCGATCACGGCTGGCGCTGGACCCGCACTCGACTAATAATGTTGAAGCATGCTAGTGGACCTGGGTCAGTGCGGGTGAGTCTAATCACTCGAGACAGGGCTGAGGTTAGAGAGATTTGGTCTGTGAGCCATGCAGTCATGCAGGAGTTGACGCGGAAAAGAGAAGAAAAGGGAAAATGGCGAGTGACGGTGGCTGAATCCACGTGTCGTCACGGGACACCCGCTGTTTCACCTTTGCTTCGCACTTTCTTTTTGTCTTTCCCTTGGGGCTTGTACTCCAAATCAATTGCGTGCTTGACAAGAAGCTATTCTGCGTGACTAGGGAGTGTTTGCAGGCCCAGCACAATGAGACCTCCGAGTATCGCTATGACTCGAGACGGACATGCTTGCCGATGGTTCCTATGGGTTCAGATCGTCGGTGGAGGAGATCAGCCTCGTTTGATAATCTCTGCCCAATGATGGTGGCTGGATGGAGGTGCGATCATCCATTCACTCGAGTACAGACCACGGCGGTTGTGGCTGTTCCGAATCGGTGGGGATGTGATGTCTACACGTCCCACCCCAGCGGCAAGCTGGAAGGACCTTGGAATTGGTCCTGCAGACTTGAGCTTGTCTGCTTAGGCCCCACGTTACTATTTCCAGCAAGGATCGAACCCAGGGGCCATTGACGTCTGCTAAAAGCACGCCGAACAAGCCACGGATCAACAACGGAAATGTGATGCAGTGACAGTGCCAAACAAAAGACTGGGGAAGCTTGCGTCTCAGGATGACAGATGGCAGGAGCCACTGCGGCAAGATGCTGACGTGGGCGAGATCTTTCTCTGAGTCCTTGGCATGCTCTTCGACACCCCGTACTTCCCGCCGCATGCCTCATTGAGTGTGAATCACGAGCAAAGATAGGGCTTGAGCTTGCAGGAGTTGCCCACAGAAGACCCTTCATGGCCTTCATCACATACCCGGCGCCTAGTCGCAATCGCCAAGGTGACCCTGGATTTCCCGTGCGAGGACAGGACGGGACGGGACATAGTCGGGAAAACCGATGGAATAGGGAAATGGGCGTAGAGAGGAGGTAGGTAGGAGGAGGTAGGAGCTTAAGCGAGTGGAACAGTAGGCAGTCTGGATGAAACCTGATTTGATGCGTGGCGGGAGAAGCTGGCGTGGCCCTTTTGCAGATCAGAGGGTCGGCCACCGCTGATTGGCGGTTCCGTCCACGCGGCCTAAGGCTCGCATCGGGATGTTTCACCTTATTTCTTTCCCTCAAGCAGAACTGCATTCAATGACTGCCATGGTATCGCTATTGCTGACCTTTCACGTCAACCTACCATACAATGTCAAAAAGCACGTCTTCAATCACGACAAGGATGTAGCAAACAGCGTCAATCTAGGGCTGAGCAGTAGGGTTAGGCTGTTTGAACTAGATTGCAGATCTTGGCTGTTGACCCTTTTGACCCTGGCTGGTGCCATAGACCACCACATCCCTGGGTTCTGGCCCTTGTGTGCTTCCGCTTACACATCCATAAACCGTTGTTGCAGTTGCCGCTAGCTTCAGGGGCGAGTACTTCACCGGCACAGCTGTACAGACCGTCTCCAGTGCTTGGCCGCTTACCCGACCCTAACGACCCGCGATCAGCATCGAATGACACACATTTACTTCGTACATTGGTAGCTCTTCTGGACGCATCGTCACTCAGTCGGAACGGATGAAGCGACCAAGCGCTAGTCCTAATCCCTCACGGAGTTCATCATCTCAACTTTGATGACGAGCTTAGGAGACTTGCTGAATTCAAGGCCAACGTCCACAATAGCAGCTTCTGCACTCACCAACTCCAACTCTAACTGCGCTGAGAAAGTGTCAAACATCAAATGTTGCATTGAATTCATCATCCAAGGTCGGCTCAGTCCCCCCCCCCCCGAAATGCGCTATGTACATGCCGCCCGCAGTCATTCTGATTACGTCTGTTGAATACATATCTCGTGTCACACGTCACAATTTCCGTTCGCTGTTGAAATGCCCAGAAAAATAACCCTTTAACTCCTGCCCACCCCGTCGTCATACCACTCAAGCCATACCGACCTAAGGCTGGCCCCAGATCTCGTCCGCGATCTCGCGAACCAAGCCCAGCTTCTTCTTCTCATCCTCGAGGCTCAGCGGGTAGCCGCTCTCGTGGGTGCTAAACCCGCACTGCGGGCTGACGCAGATGCGGCGGAGGGCCTCCTCGCGGGACTCGCCGCTGCCGGCGCTCACGAACTCAGCGGCGCGGTAGACGCGCTCCTTCATGGCCTCTTTGTCCTCGAGGGCGCGGAGCTTGGTGCTGATGATGCCGACGACGACGTTCTTGTTCGGGGGCAGGAAGCGGAGGGGCTCGAAGCCGCCGGAGCGCTCGTTGTCGTACTCGAGGTAGAAGGTGTGGACGTTGAGGTCCTGGAAGAGCTTCTGGGCGATGATGTCGTAGGAGCCCTCGGCGAAGTGGCGGCCGCCGATGAAGTTGCCGCGGCACAGGTGGACGCCCGTGTGGAAGTCGGCGGGCAGGTCGCGGAGGCAGTCGTTGTACAGCTGGATGTAGGCGTCCAGCAGGTCCTCGACGGTGCCGAGGTTGTCCGGGTCGGCCTCCCAGCCCTGGCGGAAGGCCGTCGAGCAGAAGTAGGCCATCCCGGGGTCGTCGAACTGCACGTTGCGCAGCCCCGCCGCGTACAGCGCCGCCAGCTCCGCGCGGTACACCTGGGCCACGTCGCGGAAGTACTCGGCGTCGGTGGCGTACGCCGCCGGGCTGTAGGCCTTGCCCTGCTTGTAGCGCATGTGGAACCAGGCGGGCGTGATCATCGTCAGCTTGATGGTGCCCCACTCGCTCTCGGGCAGGGCCTGCTGCACCAGCCGCAGCTCGTGCAGGTTCGACACGGACTTCTCCGCGCTCCACGACAGCTTCGCGCCGGCGATCACCGAGTCGCCCGGCATCACCTTGCGGTCCTTCTCGATCAGGCTGACCACGTCCGGGTGGTACAGCCGAAACATCGAGGCCTCGGCGTCCTGCAGACGGACGGTTCCTGCAGCGTTTAGTCAGCCCGTTGTTCTCTGTTCGTCCGATGATGCAGGCATACCCTCAAACTCATCCCACATCTGCCCCCAGAACCGCGTCCGGTTGAACTCGCCCGAGGTGACGGCCTTGTAGCCCAAGTCCCGCTGCAGCTGGACCACCTCCCCGACCGTCTGCTTCTCGACCGCGTGCAACCCCGCCTCCTCCTCGGACACGCCCGTGTCGCGGATCCTCTCGCGCACCTCCAGCAGGTTCTGGGGCCGGAGCAAGGAACCCATGTGTTCGGCCCGGAAGGGCGGGGCACTGTGCAGTTGGAAAGACATGGTGTGGATTCAGTCAAACTTTCTCAAGCTCTCTGCTATGCAACAAAGAGAAAAGTGAGAAAGACTCAACCAGAGGGGAAAGCTGACAAGAAATAGGGAATTCGAAAAAAGGGAAGAAAGATGGGGAATCCCTGCTTAGCCTTCGAGGCCCCGCATTTGTTTTCGCCATGTTCCTATTTGCCATGCGGGACCGGGCTGTTTACCGACGGTAACTTTGGTGGCGATCAACGTCTGACTTGCGTCTCGTCCGAGCGCGTTTCTTACACGTCTACACTGTTGCGAGCATTCTTTGGCACGGAGACAAGCTTTGCGGAGTTTTGTCTGGGGCCCCGCGGACTCAATCATCTTGATTGTCTTGGAAATTATCAATGCCCAGAGCAGGATAGCCACGGGCGACGAAGCTGGATTTCATGTACTCGGATGAGTACAAATTGTGCATGTGGAGGAATGGTGGGGTCAGCATATGTGGGAGGTGGGGCCAGGATGTGGAGAGGAAATGCCGTCGGATTACTCATATCGAGGCATACCGCAGTCCACAGAACGAGGTACAACTCAATGGGTTGGGACAGTAACCCTCACTCCTTCACTTTGGCTTCTGCTGTCCTGCTGACCATCCAATTCAACGGCCACGCCACCGACCTCTGCAGCTCCGCATGCTCCGCGCCAGAGACGAGGTGGTCAATCACCGCAATGAAGGTGTAAGCGCCCACCCCGGTGAAGATATGCCACCTAAACACCGCCATGCTTAGCAGCTAGCCAACTCGTATCTGCGGGATAGACAATCAGGGAAGGGACTCACCACCCATGCAACTCCAAAACAAACGCCCACGGCACCCCCACTGCCGCCCTCCACCTCCGCAAAACCGGACACGCCCACCCATCCACCAGCCAGACGGCATACCCCACATGGAATATCACTGCCCCAGATATCATCAGTATACTTGTTACCCAGTAGATAACAGGATTGGGAATGACTGACCTGCCCCAAACCGCACCAACGCCCACAACTCCCTCCTTGCAACGGACCCCCGGCTCGTCCGCTGCTGGATCAACTGCATCGTCCGCACCCCGATGACCGTCACACTGCCCACGAAACCCACCGCGTGGAGAACCAGCTCGTCCGTCGCGACGTGCACGGCCGCGAGGCCCAGCAGCGCGGCTCCCAGCGCCAGCGCCACGCGCGACGAGGTCTGTGCGCTGGTGTTGACCGTCAGCACGCGGTGCAGGAGCGGGGTGGTGGTGAGGAGCATGGAGAGGTCGTCCACTGTTTTAGCCCGGCAATAGGGGGGTGGTGGTCAGTGTTGCGCGACTTGATTGGAAGTGTAGGCGGAAAAGGGATGGGGCAAAGACGCACTCATCTGCGTGTGATACTTCAGACTCAGGTGGAACCCGGGGGAGCAGAGGCCTACGCCGATGAGGCCGTAGTATGGGATACGGCGCGAAAAGGATGGAGACGGGTGGTGGGGAAGATGACGGAGGCCGTGGAGGGCGTAGAGAACTGGACTAGAATTAGGTTTTGCCATTGCCGTCTGGGGAGAGGGCCGCGAGGGTGTGGGGGTTACTGTAGGTGAGGTTGGTCAGGGTGTTAATGAATTCGGCGATGTAGCGGGTTATGGTATAGTCCTGGTTACAGAGGTTAGGGCTTATTGTCTTTGTAGACGGAGGTGTTGGTGCGTGTGGGGGTAGATACCTCTTCGCAGAAACTGGATAAAGATTGTTAGCGTGGTACGGCGGAGAATGAGGTCGGGATGGGTGTGTACTTGAATTAAGACCTACTTTGCATGGGACGTTGGCGGGCCCCAGAATGGGTCCGTTGGAATTGGAGAACTCATTGTAGTGGTCAGGTGTGCGTGGATGGCAGTATTTGCGGGTGCTGCTGTCTGGTGTTGGAATGTTGCGGGCTCCAAACAGCTTTATTGCGATTGGAAGCTAGGCATCAGTTAAAGATTCGACCGAAAGCGGTAACCAGCTCTTTGTCCTTGCTAGTCTCTGTGTACACAGCAGGATTCATGAGCCCTGTCCTGAACCTTGTCATCGTCTTACGTGAGACTTTCGGGAGCAGGGGATAATGGTGCCTGAAGTCTTCCGGCGAAACCTCTCTCAGCATTTTCAGAGATAGCAAAACTAGGAAAGGTAAAGTAGTAAGGAAGTCACTTCCTCGCAATAGGAGGGTACAGAACACCCATACTTCCAACTAGGTTAATCTCGACAGTCAAATACGAGTAAAAGGAAGAGATCGAACATTGCCAGAAAGATGTCGTACGACTAGCAAAAGCGGGGTAAGAACCTATCAACCCCACCAACAACACCCCAAACCAACTCTCCAACAACAACCCTCGACCTAAACACCCGAAAAGCAAAGTAGAGATGCCACCCACCAGAACAATCTGCATCATCGGCATAACCGGCAACCAGGGCGCCTCCGTCGCCCGCCGCTTCCTGCAAGACCCAACTTTCCACGTCCGGGGCCTCACCCGCAACCCGCACAGCCCGACCGCGCAGACCCTCACCCAGCAAGGCGTGGAGCTCATCCCCGCCGACCTCAACGACCCCGCCAGTTTACTCCCGGCCGTCCAAGGCGCAAACATCATCTTCAGCGTCACCAACTACTGGGAACCCTTCTCCAGCCCGGCCGGCCGCCAGCAGGCCGCCGCCGCCGGCATCTCGCCCCGCGAGCACGCCTACCGGGTGGAGCGGCAGCAGGGGCAGAGCATCGCCGATGCGGCGGCGCAGACGGTGGACTCGCTCGATGCGAACGGGTTCATCGTCTCGACGCTGAGCCACGCGACGCGATGCAGCCGGGGCCGGTTTCGCGAACTGTACCATTTCGATGCCAAAGCGGAGGTCTTCCCCGATTATGTACGCGAGAGGTATCCGGCGCTGGCGGCGAAGATGTCGTGCGTGCAGACGGGGTACTTTACCTCGAGTTATAAGCTGGTTCCCGGGGCGTATTTTGGGAAGGTGTGTTGTTCCCTTCTGGGGAGAGCTCAGTGTTGCGTGGGGTCGGGGGGCGTCAGGAGGTAAAGGGTTGGCTGACTCGGGTGTTTAGGGCAAGACGGAGGACGGGGAGGATGTATTTGAGATGACCTTCACCACCGCATCCGGGGCGGTGGTGCCCCATCTCGATGTGCAAACTGATCTAGGTGGGTTTGTGTATGCGGTTGCCCGGATGCCGCCCGGGAGGAGTTATATGGCCTGTGGGACGAGGTGCAGTTGGGCGGAGTATATGAGGATTTGGGGCGAGGTGAATGCGGTGGCGGCGCGGTATCGGCAGATCACGCTCGAGGAGCTCATTGCAAAAGCGCCCGAGCCGGAGTTTGGCCGCGAGGTGGGGGATATGTTCTCCTATTCGACGGATCCGGGTTATGATGGGGGTGATGGGAGCTTGTTGACGGCGGAGGATATACGAAGGGTGAGACATGTTGTCTATCTTTGGATGTGTGGGTTGAATGCTGACTTCCTTTAGGCAGGAATTGATTGTCGCATGACTAGTTTGGAGGAATGGATCAGGAGGGAAGATTGGTCAACTGTTCTGGGTTGAGCATGTCAGATTTCCTTCAATATGCGATAAGTTTAACAAGCATCTGAGTTAAACACAGGAACACGCTTTTGGTTACGCAAAACAAAAGAAAAACTGTCTTTGCAATCATCAAATTATGATATAGCTGCAAGCATTTAACGGGGACGACCGGACGAAGGAATATATTGATCACGCTGTGGACGCAGGTTAGCTACATTTGGGCCAGGGCTTTTCATAAGCTTCCACTGACTCATGTCCCTAGGATTAGCAAACGAAGCGTCAAATAGATAGGGTGACTTTCGTATGAATCCCAACTCAAAATCGGTGTGCAAAATTAGATGTCGATTGACCTACCCACCCTGAGATCTCTAATGAGCGAATAACCTTAATTCTCTCTGCGGTCATTGGCAACCCTCTTTGTTTCATCTTACCAATAGCGCCCTCATTTCACTGCTCATATTCACACTTAGTAACTAGCTGCTACAAGAACAAGGGTCATTCCTCAGAGCCAACCTCTCAACCATGGGGTCTTTGCTCGGGTCCACCCTCTCATCCTTCTCCTACTCATTGTCTGCATCATCCACATCATCCGCCGCAGATAGCAGCAATACTCCATCGCAAGACAACATGGCTGCCAACCACCGTTCCATCTACCAACGCGAGATCCCATCTTTGGTCTCGACCACCTCGCCTCCACCATCCGCGCAATCAGATCTCACACCGTCCTCGTCCGCAACGAACAGCGGTTCGCACGATATGGTCACATCCATCAATCACGCCGCCTCTTCACCACTATTCTCATCACGCGCGAACCGCGCAACATTAAAGCCATCCTCTCGACCAACTTCCACGACTACAGCCTGAACCGCCTCGCCGCGTACAGACCCCTTCTGAAACCGGGGATTTTCGTGACGGACAGGCCAGCGTGGTCACAGTCGCGCGCGCTGCTGCGCCGCATTGTCTTCGCCAAGACTCAGATCGCCGATCTCTCGACCTTCGAGGGCCTGATCACCGATCTCTTGCTGCTGCTCCCCACCGATGGTCAACCCATCGACCTACAAGGGGTGTTTTTGGGGTATGCGATCGACTCAGCCACCGCCGTCCTGTTCGGGCGCTGGACACACACCCTCCGCCGACTCGGTTCTCCGGCCGCTGCTGGGGCCAATCACCAAGAAAACGTGGATTTCGCGGACGTCTTCAACGACGCCCAGGCGGCGATCCGGACCCGGGAGCAGCTGGGAGCATTGCGGGTATTTCATCGGGATAAGCACGCCGTCACGTGTATCCGCATCTGCCACGAATTCGTGGAGGGGGCAATTGAGGATGCATTGCGCAGAGTCCCCGGCGGCACCCGTCCCAGTCACCACGCGGTGGGTGGTCCTGGATACGGTGTTGCCGGTGGGCGGCGGGCCCAGCTGTTTGGACCCCGTGCTGGTGCGCAAGGGCACCATGGTCGTGTACGATATCTACGCCATGCATCGGCGCGGCGAGATCTACGGGTCAGATGCGGCGGCGTTCCAGCCGGAGCAGTGGAAGGCCTGCAGCCCGGCGAGTGGGCGTTTCTGCCTTTAGGGGGCGGGCCGAGGGGCTGTTTGGGGCAGCAGCATGCTTTAACGAAGTGGGGTATGTTGCTGTGCGGCTGGCGCAGCAGTTTGCTGGGCTGGAGGTGAGGGGTGGGAGGCCCTGGCAGGAGGATCTAGGGATGGCGCTGTTGCAGAGGGATGGGGTGTGGGTTTGTTTGACAGACCGATGGTGTAGTTTCTTGGGTTAACTCTGCTGTTCTGGGGATATAGAGAGCGGGTTAATGTACCAATAAGACTTTAATTCTTGGCAGGGAAGTGGAACTAGATACGATCTACAAACTCCCGACTCCATCATCCATCTTCCTTATTTCCATGGACTCCTGTGCTCTGATTGCCTGCCTTGCAATTATTGGAATTCTTTTCTTTCCTCTGCTGGCTTTATACGGTTTCTCAAGGCGTCGATTCTGACGTTAAACTTATTTTTTGGGCTCACGCCAGCCCAGCTATCTACCCCGTCTTTGTCCACCGATGGCCAGCAGCTCATCGACGGCCAGTAACTACCTGATAAATAGTATGCTTTGAACCTCGATATTACCAGCGCCCTTTTTCTCCCCGTAATGTTGGAGGTCGTCTCAGCGGATGTAAACACCACCAACGCCATTCTTACTATTACTACCAACGGTAAGCTGGCGGTCCGGGAGTCTATCCGGGTCTGCGAAAGCACCCTCTTCCGACTAGTATAGTGCGCCACGATTAGTTTCTTTATATATACTATTATCTCGGGCATTGCAGGTGTTGTTTCAAGCCAGAATAAGGGCAATCTTAATAAATAGAAGCACGCGTATTACGGCACTGGCTGCAATTATAATACTATTATGCAGCGCAAGACTATCTACGGCGTCCTCTACTACTACTTTTCGAGTGTTAAAAGCAACAAGATCTGCAGTATCCAGTACCCGTTTCTGGAATACGGAGGTATTTATCGCAGCTATTTTAATTTTGGCAAGGCGGAGTGGTTCGATGCCAGTATCTACTGCGGACAGGGCTTGCCTATTGCTGCGTGTGCGTCGGGGGGTAACAACAGCTTTAAATAGATATCCTTTTTCAGAAGAAGAATCTGCAGAAAGAGCGAAACTAAACATTAAATCTCGGCCTGGACTTGATTATGGTCGTTTCATTTGCTCGCGGGGCAGGGCTTTTCTGGAAATCCTTTAGAAGAAAAGGTTGAGCTAACTTTGTATGTGTGTCTCCAGCGAAGGAGGGAGGGCACCGCTAAAATTACGCTAGAATACGTTGTGGGCAGTTGTGAAGATAAGAACTCTTTGGGCACGTGTGTTTCGCTGATACAGGTTCTATGCGTGTCTTCAAACTCCTCCAACCCTACGAACAAACCCGCCTTGACTGCCACGATTGAATGACCCAAATCCGCCTCACGAGTAGAATCTTACGGGTCGGTCACACCCCCCGGCGAACGCACTCCCCGAGAACACCCCGGAGAAGACATCCATCATGATGGGTTCGTGGCCGATGCTTTTGGTCGGCTGGTTAAACAGAGTCTGTGAAGATAGGTAGACAGGCAGCCAGCTAGCCCGGCAAGACTCACAAATCGTCCCTCGTGGCGGTGCTGGGGACTTGGGTCGTGAGTGGCTCGGCTATGACGGTCACGTCGGCGGCCAGGCTGTAATCTGATGTCATTGGGGTCGTATGCTGGGGGCCCAGCACCTTCGCTCGGACTTGTGATGCCAGTCGGTGCATGGCCTTTGCCTCTTCATATTTGCCCCGGATGGAGAGGGCTTAAACAAGGCTGCTGACGCCGGTGCGTGTGTCTGAATGCTCGGGCCCAGCATCTTCTCTATTATCTTGAAATTCTCACATCGAATCGACTGAAAATGACCACAACGAGGAGAAAATTGATTCATAGAATAGTTTTACCCGAGGACCTAAGGAATAGGACTGGCTACCAGAGTACAAGTGGAAAACTCGATACAAGGAAGTATACAATTACCTTAAAGAACATCTTGGTAGCTCTTATTGCTTTTGAGACCCATTCTACCCCTATAGGATATGCGATTCAACGGATGTAAAGAATAGACAGACATAAAAATCAAGTACCACAGGTCATATTTTATTGATCAAGCGGGTTCCGGCATTATGGCACTGAGAGACGTTGGCGAATTTCCGACATTTTTGGTAAAGCAGCGTCTGGGCCTACACAGGACGAAACTCTATGTCTAGCCAACCCAGGCGGTCCATGGAGCCTAAAACGACGTTATTTCGATGTACTTCCGTTAAGTATCAGGTTTGTAAAGCGAGCTTAGGGAAAGTCATGAGTCACTTGTAGTTTTGAGCCACAGAGCCATTAATAGGTCTAAGATGAATTTTCAAGCATCTGTGCGTGAGTTTCTGTTTATTGGGTGGTGATAAAGGTGATGATTAATATAGTTGTCCTAGCTGTCACTTTTCTTGCCTCTGGCGGCCAGGATGACAATCCTTTTCGTGCCGGCATTGCACAAAGCGGAGGTCCTCTGACCTCCAGTGCGTTCTTGTCTCACGACTAACAAGACCATTCATACAACCAGGTTATTACCACCACCAATTGCACAGCAGCAACACTCGATACCTTGTATTTTGTACGCTCCCGACCGGCCAACCAATCAAAGTCGATTTTTCAAGGCATTAGTTACTACCCCGTTATTGACCCGTCATTGACGGGGGCATAATAACAGAGCTACCGTCCACTGTCCTCAAATACGGCAGGTTTATACGGCAGCCTATATTGATCGGTAACAATACCGACGAGGGTACATCTTTAGGGGCAAGCATTCGTGGAATAGACAATCCCGCCTAGTCCCGCCAAATCGTCGTCGGAGCTGATGCGGCGCAGGGGTTGACAAATTATACTATTAATACTATGGTCAAGATGTATGCTGTAGAAATGTCTGACATCGCAGCACAGCATAATCTTGGAGCCGTTCTTCTGAGCCTGCAACCCGACTTTGGAAAGCTGTGGGGCAAACTTATACTTTACATTGGAGACATTATTTTCCATGCTCCTAGGCGCTACGCCACAGAAATGTGGCCCAAGTAGGGAATGATTGAGATATTACAAGTTATTAAAGAAGGATAAGTAGAAAACATAATATTTAGACCCAACCCGTGGGTACAGGTTCTGATTTTGGACCCAAACCCAACCCGTGACAAGGTCTATGATAGATAGTGTAAGACAAAGTATTGATGCATTTGAAATTTCTATCGCTTGTAGCTGGAAATGTCGAGACACTGCAAGCTTACTCATCGCTCTGAAGGGTGAATCGCTCTAGGTACATAAAGCTCTTCCAAACTTTGAATCTCCTCATCGGACAGCTTAATGCTAGTGGCTGCGACTGCTTCGTCTATACGAGCAATGCTGTTGAGTCCGAGGATAGGATTCTCATTAGGATGACTCAAACACCAAGCAACTGCAACTTGAGCCATAGTGATGTTCTTTCTTTTGGCAATCTCCTCCACCCGGTTGATAATTGCCTTGTCAACCGGAGATTCTCGATCACGAATTATGCTTTTCAAGCTGCTGTCAGTAGATTCACGGAGGCTTCCTCGAGACGTGTATGGCCTAGCGAGCACGCCACGTGCTATAGGTGACCAGGGAATGAGGCCCACTCCTGTATCTAGGCAGTAAGGCATCATCTCACGCTCTTCCTCTCGCGCAAGCAGATTGTGGAGGCATTGCATGGAGATAAACCGATGCCATCCGTTCCGTGCAGCTATGTTCTGCAGAGTCTGGAACTCCCATGCAGCCATCTGCTTAGTGTTTGTTGTTAGCTTCCAAGCTCAAAGGACTGGAGATAGAATTGAATACAATACTGACCGAGCTGGCACCGATGTAACGAACTTTTCCGCTATTCACCACATCATTCAAAGCTCTCATAATTTCTTCGCGGGGAGTTTCGCGGTCCAGGCGATGAATTTGCAGTACATCGATGTAGGTTCCGAGTCTTTTCACACTTGCATCAACCGCATCCAAAATATGCTTTCTAGACAACCCAACGCGGTTAACCCACTCCTTACCATCATTATAGATTGTGGCTCGATTAGGCGGCTGGCGGCCTTGGTCATCAACGCCGAAAAAGCATTTCGTCATGATGACCACACGATCACGCGGGATATTTTTCTGCTTCAAGAATTTGCCAATAATCTCTTCGGACCGACCATGAGAATAGATATCCGCCTGTTTCAGAATGGCGTTAGGGCTGGAAAGTGACACGGACAGCGATGTAAGGTTCTGATCGATTTACACACCGTGTCCCAAGTGTTGATGCCTTTGTTGAAGGCGTGCTCAAGAAGTGGGAATGCGTCTTCCTCATTAAGGACCCAATCTTGCCAATCGCTACTACCATAAGACATTGTTCCAAGGATGATTTGAGAGATCTTGAGTCCTGAGTCCCCTAGACTGATGACAGAGCAAGAGGAGATTAGTGACGGAATAGTCGAATGTCTCGAGGAAGGGAGTTGAGACAACATACCGAACATATTTCATTTGTGGCTGATCCATGGTGATAGTGAATCCTAGGTAATGATATAGGGAGCAGGAGTGAACTTGATCGAGTCGAGAATAGACCACTGCAGCGATACAACGATATGATGCTGGGGTTTAAATACTGCTAGTGGACCGGTGCGGCCGGCAACTCTGTCCAGCGGGTCTACGTCGATTGGTTTTACACGAACCACGGGTTTATGGCCAAGGGCAGAAAGTAAGCAAATTGCATTAGCGCTAGTAGCAAGCTCCACCCATTTTGGAGACGTATCCTATCGGGCACGCTCGCTACGCTAGCTGTACTTTTGCTTTTCGAATCAGATCAATTGGGAGAGAAGTTTGGTAATAATAAATGGAAGATCATGTATCCGTGTACGCACCACAGCAATAATCGAACCATTTTTCCAGAGAGGTCAAAGAAAAGATCAACGGCTCCCCACAAAAAACGAAGAATAAGAGCCCAGGTTCGATGGACTAAATGGCCACCTATTCTATGAGGGGCCGATACGATTTGAGTTGATGCAAATATGCTTGGAGTACATTGAGATTCGTTGATTGGAGCGGTGAGATTTGCAAATATCTAGTTGATACCCGGTGTTCCTCGACGTATGGCTTCCTGTCGAGATCCTGGTTTTACGTTCGCGATCCTCCACTGATGTGAGTACTGGGCGGGCCTTAAAAGAAATACCTCAGATAATGGTCATACAAGGTGGAACAGCCGTAATACATCAACCAATAAACCCAGAAAGGAGCATGGATGGTTCTGTGTAGTACCGTCTGGCTGTAACTTATCGTCGATACTTATTTGTCTCCACTGCACCTCTGTTACTGATATAAATCTAGTGTGTAACGACATGCAGATGATTCAAATACTGGTCTCCTTGCCTTGAACTCGTCTTCTCTACATTCTTTAACACCCCAACAAGAACGACGGCATAAAAATTCAGAAGACCCCAGCTACTTGCAAATATCATGAGGGTTCTCCTTACTGGTGGTAGTGGCTTCATTGGCAAGCACTGTCTAGCATATCTTCTGGAGAATGGGTATGTTTCCCTCAAACAAGCATTGGTAGCCAGTAATTGACCGAGTTGTAGTCATACTGTTGTTACCACAGTGCGCAGCGCTGCAAAGGGAAGAGAATGCCTGGAAAAGTATCCTAAATCCCTCAATACTCTCTCCTATATCATTGTTGAGGATATCAGGCGGTCCGGAGCCTTCGACGAGGCCGTTCAGTCCCAACCATTCGACGCTGTGGTGCATACTGCGAGCCCCTTTCACTATCATGCAGCTGACCTCAAGCTGGACATGATAGATCCTGCTATCATGGGGACAATGGAGATCCTGGGATCGATCAAAAATTATGCTCCCTCTGTCAAACGAGTTGTCATTACCTCCTCCTTTGCTGCCGTTGTGAACTTTCAGGAAGAGGTGCCATTCTATACCTCAGATTGTTGGAATCCTATCACAATGGAGCAGTCATTGACAAATGGCCAGCTTGCATATGTGGGAAGCAAAAAATTTGCCGAAAAAGCTGCTTGGGACTTTATGCACAACGAAAATCCGGCCTTTACCCTCTCTACCATCAACCCTGTTCTTGTTTTTGGACCCACGATTTCTCGATTGAACTCTTTAGCGGATGTCAACACATCCAATGCCATTTTTCGGGATTTCATAGATGGAAAGCTGAAGTCAGGCATCCCCCCTAATGAGTTCCAATGGGTAGATGTCAGGGATGTTGCACTTGCTCACATTCGCGCAATCGAGGTCCCGGCGGCTGCTGGCAAACGGTTTCTAGCTGCCGCAGGGCCGTACAACAATCATCAAATTGCGGCAATTATAAAGAAAAACTTTCCTATGCTAGCCGATAACCTTCCTGAACAGACTTCTGTCGCGGATGGGCCTCCGCGATTCGTCATTGACAACGACCCGATGAAGCGAATTCTCGGAATATCCTTTAGGTCCTTCGAAGATTGCGTCATTGATACCGTGAAGGCTTTACTCGAAGTGAATAGTTAGAATTTTATACATTTCTGGTTCACAATCTTCAAGACATGTTAACACATTCTACCATGTCAAAATCAATCGTTCACAGAAACAGCTAGAATAATGATAACGAGAAAGGAGTGACGGTGAATGAGATCTGTCAACTACAAGCCAAGCGATGAGACCTTGGGAACTGTCGTGGAATTGGAGTAGTAGTGATAGACAAAGTTCAATGAGATTATGGCCACTCCATTTTTGTACACGTTTCTACATATTCACTTACTCGGCATATTCTCGTCTCGAGGTCCCGATCTATTGGGCAAGGACACATCAACGTGTCCCTTGCTCAGAATCTTCATTCTTGGCTCGATCGACCATTTTATCTCGACTTCATTGACCCCGTTTCTCCTATAGATCAACGGTGCATTGTAACCAATGCTGAATCTCATGACTTCGCAGGAAGATGAATATAAGACATCAGGTTCTTGAATGGCGGAAATGACGGTCCTAAAATTCGAGCCACGTTCATATTTCGTACATGTCGCGCCATGAGTATCATTCTGAGGTTATGACCTCTTTCCGAGTTTGACACTGCCGTAATCACCAAATGCTATGAGGCGAAAAAGGTGGAGGCTGATGTATCGACCAGAACGCTACCAATGCAACTCGCTTACATTTCTGCTTTGATTGGTCTTTCAAATCGAAGCGTATCCACTTAGGCTTCCGGGCCTCGTTCTTCACTTTACGCTTGTTAAACGTGTACTCTTCCATTTCGGTCGCAACGCTAATTTCGGGAACTTAGTATCTTTTTCTAATCCTCACTGAGCTAACTAAGTGACTGCTTGATGAGGTAATTGATATATACAAGCAGCTGGTCAAGAGCGGTATCAAGCTTTGTATTCACGGGAAAACAGCCGTAAGCCGTAAGCTGAAGTGAATAAATCGATCCTAATAAAACAGACCAGTCGCTTTGATCAAGCTTGTACCAATTATAGCGGCGCTAAGGGGATTCTGGCCAGCCTTCCACTCCTCAAAGCGAATCTCGAATTTCCGCGCTAACGGGACTTCTCCTATGTCACTTACCCCCGCGGGATTAATTCGAACCTTAGCCTATTGAAGCTTGGGTTGCGCAGTTGATAGACCCAGTCCAGACTCTCCATTTCCCAAGGATGCGGGCGCGAGATATCTGTATCTCAGATTGTGGGTCATGCAGGCTGCTTATTTTTCTTTTTTGATTGGGTTCGATCACGAGATTCGCCTCCTTCGCCATGTTGGCCGGAATAGTCTTGGCCAATCACATACCTGTATTGGCTTACAAATGAATGGTTGGAAAAGGGGTTCCTCGCTGTCCACAGGCTGGGCATGTAACTTTGCTATTTCTAAAGAATATACTAGAACTGCAAAAATACATATACTGTGTCCAGCCCTCGAAAAGATTGCACAGAGGAGAATATAAATAAGATCCCAGCTTCTTGAAAGCTATCGTCTGTATAGCCAGACAGTGATTTCCTTTCTGTGAACGTTGCCTAGTTATCCACCATGACTCTTACAGTTACTGTTGTTTTTCCCAATGACACCGATGCCAAATATGACATCGACTACTATGTTGAAAACCATATGACACTTGTTGAGAAACTTTGGTCTCAATACGGTCTTCAGGGTTGGTCAGTCACCAAGTATATTCCTGGACTGGATGGTTCTCCACCATTATATGCATTTGGCAGCGAAGTGTTTTGGGAGAATGAAGAAGGAATGAAAGAGGCCTTTAGGAGTTCCTCAGTTGCTGAGATTATGGCCGATGTCGCCCGCTTCAGCAATAAATCCCCAATCTTTTTGATCGGTCAGACAATCAAGCCTGCTCTTCATATGTGAGGATTGTGAGTTACAATTAGTGGCTTCCTTGACTCAAGAATCAGTGACTAACTTACCAAGTGATGAGAAGCGGGGAGTTGTGATGGTACGCTTTATCAGCTTCGTACTTGGGCAAGGGCTCAATTCTGCGTATTGCTACAGTGTCATAAATCATAACGCTTGGCAACAATGGATATAGAAGGCGGAATTCTCTCCTAACTAATATCGAGTTTGTGAAGGCCAGCCCTGAATTCCATCATCATGTAATGGACTTTGCTGTATGTTGGCCTCGCCAAAGCCCGCGGGTTCTAAACCCAACCCGGTTTTTAGCGGGTTTTGGGTCGATGGGCTCAAGCTGCATATTAAATATAGATTTAAATATTTAATTTGTAAATTTTTAGCAGATATCTGTAGGTTTGTCATAATACAGATCTAATATACCTATTATATCTAGTAGTATTTACTTAGATATATTTAAAAAAGATTAAAATAAAATAAGAATTTTATATATATCTAAAAAATTAGAACTTTTAGTATAAATTAAAAAAAAATTTATTTTTAAATCTATTATAAGATTAAACAAAAAGTAGAACAGATTTTGAAAAATAAAAAAATAATCTAAATTTTTAAATAAAAACTAAATAATAATTATTAAAAATAGTATTATATAATACAAAAGATAAACTAGTAAAATTAGAATATAAAAAATATAAACTAATTATATATAAAGTATATATATTATAAATATAAAACTATTTATTTTATTTATAAAATTATAAAATTATACCAAACTACAGTAGTATAATTTTTAATAATCTAAAACTATTCGGCAGTTTTAGAACTTAAAATCAAAAATTAGTACAGTCTGGTCTGGTGCGGTCCGGTTCTTGGTCTTCGCAGTCTTTTCCGAGGCCTACATTAATCTATCTTTTTATAATAAAAAGCTCAGTTTTAAGATATCTTAGATTAGAAAGAGAATCTTAATTATTCATATTTACTAATAAACTTAAAATTCTGTAGATTTATGTTAATATTTTAGACTTTAATAAGTATTAACAATATACCGTTTAAAGAGCCTATTCTAGTTATATAGATTACTATAATAAAAATTAAAAATTATTTAAAATTAGTACTCAATGAAACTAAAATAATCTGAAATAACCAAAGTTTTTAGATGCGTACTTTATAAGTAGAGTGGCTAACAGCATGTTATACAATACCTACTACTACAGCAGTCTATACCTATTATTATAGCAGCCCGCTTCTGGGTTAATACAGATTCGTCGGGCTTTTAATCCGGATATCTATATTATTATATTATTTACTTCTCTTTTTATATAATATATTATTCTAGGATTTTTTTAAAAAAAAAGACTTTTTAAAAATTAGTTTTAAAATTAATAAAAAACTATTTTTAACTATTTTACTTATCTTATCTAACTAGTATATCTACTATATTAAGTAGTTTCTAATAATTTTTAATTTTTTTTAATTACTTAAAAAAAAATAATATATTATTAAATAAATCCTCGCCGGAACTATCTTAAGATACTTTATTTATTTTTAAATTATACTATTTAATTTAAATAGATATTTAAAAAATATAAGCTACTATTTACTAATTAAAATAATTAAAATAATTAAAAAAACAGATTTAAATATTATAAATAAAATATAAAAGTATTAAATTTCTAGCAGAATTATATTAATATTATACTAGTTTAATTTTATTTTCTAAATATAAAAAAATTAAATTTAAGAAAATCTTTATTTTCTTTCTTCGGTTCAGTTTACAACAGAGAATAGAATAAATTTATAATTTATAACATATTTTTAAAAAAACTTTTCGGAAATATTATATAAAAAATTAAAAAATTCTAGTTATAGTTAGTTATTTAGATTTTATCTATCGGTAGAAATAGTATTAATATATTAATAAGAAATCTTCGAAAAACTACTAAAATACTAAAAAATTATAAGATTATTTTATTTAATAAATTTTTTTTATTTAAAATATAGTTATTTTATAGTCTAATATTATAAAGCAGCTTAAATAAGCCTATTAATAAAATAATTAAAATCTAAAAAAAATTTGTTTTTACTTAAATATTTTAGAATATTATTTTAAATCTAAATAAAATAATAAATATATTTTAATCTTTTTTTTCAAACTAATACCAAAACTTAATTAATATATTTATAAATATATACTAAAACTACTGGACTCCCGAGAGAAAATAGTAGCTATTATTATTTATTATTAAAAATATATTAAATTAAAAGAGAAAATAAGATTTAGAAAAATAAAAAAGTTATCTAAATAAGACTTTTAGAAAATCCGGATTTTTATAGTTAATTAATAAGTTTTTTTTATTAAAATTCTTATAAAATAAAAAAATTAAAGAAAAATTTTTTATTACTATAAATATAATACTAAATATTATTTAGCTAATTAGTATTTTTATAAAATTAAGAATAAAACTAAACCAAAACTAATAAAAAAAATAATAATTTAAAAAATTTTTATATTTTTAATAAACTAACTTAAAATAAAAACTATTATTTACTTTAATATATCTATTTACTTTAGAAATATATTTAAAATCTATACAAACTTAGATTTATATATTAAAATTAATCTTATTAACTATTAGTTTATTTAATAATTTTATTTAGATATAGCTTATTTTATAATTTTATTAATTACTATAATTAATCATCTTACTATAGATATTTGTAGTATATAGAAAATTTTTATTACTATTATTAATTTAAAAAAACTATATAATTATTTATAAAATATTATATAGCTATTAATTATAATCTAAATCTTTTTAAAAATCCTATTTTATTTTTAATAATTATTCCTAGAAGATCTATATATTTATTTATTTATATAAAATCGATAATAATAATATAAAATCTAAAATCTAAAAATCTTATTTTTTTATAAATTTATAAAAGCTTGCTAAAATCTTATTTCTATTTATATTATTATTAAACTTCTAGAAAATATCTAGCTATTAGAAGATAAAGCCTTATTAAATTATTTATAAATTAAATCTAATAAGATTATATTATTTTTTAAGCTTTATAATTTTATAAATATATTTTTTTTAATTATTTTGAGCAATTTTCTTTTTATTAGCCGTTGGACTATACTATTAATTTAAAAAATAATAAAATTTTATTATATAAATCTATTTATTTTTTATTTTAAGTTAAGCTTTAATCCCTTTATTATTATATTAATAAAAATATTTAATTAAAATAAATTTAATTTTTTAAAAGTTCTGTAGAAGCTTTTATTTTTTTTATATTGAAAAAAATAAAGGCCTCTAATTATATATAGATTATAGAAAATTTAATAAGATTTTAATTAAAAATTATTATTTTTCATTCTTAATTTTAAAAATTTTAGATAGGATTACGGGAGCTAAATACTTCTTAAAGCTTAATATTTAAAATATCTATTATTAAATTTATATTAAATAAAAAAATAAATAAAAGACAGCTTTCCGAATTTATTATAAATATCTTAAATATTTAGTAATATTATTTAAATTAACTAATACTCCAGCTATATTTTAAAATTATATTTATTTAGTTTTTTATAATATATTAAATATTTTTCATATTATTTATTTAAATAATATTTTTATTTTTTCGAAGAACCGCCCTTTTTATACTCTTTATCTATATTCAATATTAGAATATTTAAAAAAATAGATTTTTATATTAAACTATTAAAGTATACTTTCTACTAAGATTATATTAAATTTCTAGAATATATTATATTTTTATATAATATATTAATAGACTTTTAAAAAAATATTTAATATTTTTATATAGCTGATATCAATTATATACCATAAGATCTAAGTATTTTTAGAATTTTATAATTTTTATTAGTATTTTATTAGAAATTATTTCTTAATTATATTGCTACTGATTTTTTTCAAAGAACACCCAGAATAGAAAAAAATCTAAGAAAATAATATTAATTAATAAAAAAACAGTAGTATTCCGACAGCTTTTTTATAATTTTAAAACTATATCTTTATTAAAATATTTTAATTTTGAATAAAAAATTTAGATAAAAACAGATTTTTTTAATAAAATATAGTAAAAATACTATTTTAATTAAATAACTATAAAATATACTACTTTATTATATTCTACTTAAAAAAATTTAATAATACTAAAACTTATTATTTAATTTTAGATTAAAAACTTTTTATTATTATTTATTTATTTAAATATTAGTATTAATATCTTAAAGAATTATTATATACTATTAAATTTTTTTAAATTATTAAAATTTTTAGATTTTTATAAAGTAGTCGAAGCTAAACAGCTGTTAAACTTAATAATATATATATTTTAATAATTATAATTTTATTATTTAATATCAGTCCGGTAGACATAATCCTACCAATTTATTATTAAAAATAAAAAGAAACTTGGAAATTCTATTTGATATAAAGATTCTAAAGTCAATATAATATTAAATAGCTAGTAAATTCTTAATAGAATCTCAGCTAGTCTCTATAAAATCCTAGCTTAAATATAATAAGATATTTTTATAAAAAAGCTCTAAACTTAGTATCTATATATGTCAGACTGAAAGGTCACCTGGGTATCAAAACCCTAAGCCCTAGTCTTCTTAATTCAGTTATCTGAATAAGAACTATTGTTCTAGCCTGCTCTATTTATTCCATCCCTGTATTCTTACCTCTGTTTATTAAATATTTCTAGTTTCCTGTTTAGGAAATTAGTAAACAAAAAAAATAGTTTAAATAGTCTGATATTTTCTATTTTTTTTATTGAGTTTAATTTAGTTCTATTAATCAGAATTATATATTAAATTCGCTATTCTATTTATTTTCTTATTTATCTAATTTTTAATTTTTTTAATTTTATAATTCTTTATTTTAACTTTACTTTCATCTTATTTCTATACATAATTTGTATAGAAAAGTAAAAATTAATTAAATCTTATTTAAAAAAACTAAAACTGTAATAATTATAAGCCCGGAAGATCTTTTATTTTAATTTATTTAATATTCCTTTATTAAATAAATAATCAAATTCTTAAACTAACCATAATTAGATTAATTTAATATAAATAATTAGATTATTTAGTAATCTAATAAGATATTACAGTTAAATTAGTCAGGTGATTAGACTTTATAAATTAATTAAATTTAACTATTTATAATTAATAAAAAAATATAAAACTTGGTAAATCTAAAACTGTTAACTAAGCCCGCCTATCTAATTCAGCCTAATATAATTAATATT